AGACAGTGAAATCTAGGCACTCAACAGGTAGTATCTACAATGCTCTTTTACTAGAAAGAAGTAAAAACAGGAAAACATAGCTCACAGCTAGAGGAAGATTCAGTCAAAAGAGTATACTATTTAAAACACCTATTTTACACAAAAAGAATAAAATACCTAGGAATACAGCTAAGGAAGTAAAAGATCTCTACAACAAGAATTACAAAACACTGCTGAAAGAAATCAGAGATGATACAAACGTGGAAAAACATTCCATGCTCATGGATAGGAAGAATCAATATTATTAAAATTGCCATACTGCATAAAGCAACTTATAGATTCAATACTGTTTCTATTACACTACCAATGACACTGTTCACAAAATTAGAAAACAAAATGATTTTAAGATTCATATGGAACCAAGAAAGACCCCAAATAGCCAAGGCAATCCTAAGCAAAAAGGACAAAGCTGGAGGCGTCAGGCTACCTGACTTCAAACTGTACTACAAAGCTACAGTAATGAAAACAGCATGGTAGTGATACAAAAACAGACACATAGACCAATGAACAGAATAGAGAGCCCAGAAATAATGCCACACACTTACAATAGTCTGATCTTTGACAAAGTCAACAAATATAAGCAATGGGGTAAGAACTCCTTATTCAATAAATGGCGATAGAATAACTGGCTAGCCATATGCAGAAGACTGAAACAGGACCCCTTCCCTACACCATACACAAAAAATCAATTCAAGATGGATTAAAGACTTGAATGTTGTTAAGAGAAAAACTTCAGCCAAATTAAATTTTAAAGAGTTTAGTTGAGCAACAGATGCTTTGTGAATCAAGGAGCTCCCAGAATCACAGCAGAATCAGAGATTCCAGGGATACCTCGTGGTCAGAACAAATTTATAGACAAAAAAAAAAAAAAAAAAAAAAGGAAGTGATGTACAGAAATCAGAAATGAAGTACAGAAACAACTGGATGAGTTACAGCTCATCATTCGCCTTATTTGAACAGTTTGAACACTCTGGAATTGGCCAAGACTGAGCTACTGTTACAGATGCTTACTCGTAAATTAGGTTCTCAATTTTATCTACATATTAAGTTAGGTTGCAGTTCATCTACAGGGGCTCAAATATAGAAGAATGGAGTCCTTCTTGTGTCATATTTAGCCTGCTTTAACAATGTAAAACCTAAAACCATAAAAACTCTGGAAGATAACCTACGAAATTCCATTGTAGACATAATCACTGACAAAGATTTTATGATAAAGATGCCAAAAGCAGTTACAACAGAAACAAGAATTGACAAATGGGACCTACTAAAACTAAAGAGCTTCTGAACAGCAAAAGAAACTATCAACAGAGAAAACACAACCTACAGAACAGAAGAAAATACCAACAAAGGCCTAATATCCAGAATCTATAAGAAACTTAAATTAACAAACAAAAAACAACTCCATTAGAAAGTGGGCAAAGGACACAGACAAAAGATTTTAATGGACACTTTTCAAGGTATAGACATAAGTACAGAGAAAAGTGTTCAACAACATTAGTCATCTGAGAAATTAAATTAAATCCACAATGACAGGCCACTTTATACACACTAAAATAACTAAAATTTTAAAAACTGGACATTGCAAGTGTTGGGAGCATATGGAATAACCAGAACCCTTATAAACTTCTGGTGGACCCCTAAGATGTACAATCACTTTAGAGGACTCTTTGGTGGCTCCTTACATCGTTAAATACACATTTACCACATGAACTGGCAATTCCTATCTTACGTAATTACAAAAGAGAAATAAAACATTTTTTCACAAAAGGAATATTTTTATAGCAGTCTTATTTGTAATAGTCAAAAGCTGGAAGCAACCCAATTGTCCATCAACAGTGACCAGAAGGACAAAGTTTGCTATGTCCACACATTAGAATACCAGTTGGCAGTCAAAAAGGAAGAGCTTTTGATCTATGCAGCAATGTGTATGAGTCTCAGTATTTTTGTGGTGCGTAAAATCAGCTAGACAGAAAAGAACACACACTGATGACTTTATGTGAAGTTCCGACACAGACAAAATTCATGCACAGGGACAGAAATCATCAGATTGGCGCCAACCTGTGGCAGGGACTGGGCATAGGAGTGGCCACTGCAGAAGGCATGGATGGAGTGGTCAGGCGTGGTCTGTACCTCTCTCTGTCCATGCCCACTGAGCTATGCCTGTAATGCAGGTAGATTTCATTTTGTAAATTGTATCTCATGAAGTTCATCTGAAGGGTCTACACCCAGAGCCAGTATTTTAACTATTCCGAAATAACATTGAGTAAAATGATGCAAAGGGTGAAACTACACTGATGTTGTGACGCCACTTGTTTTTAAAAGGGGAAGAGCTGCACACATGGGTCATGCACTCTTAATATTTCTTGTATAATGTATCTGGAAATATCTTCCTCTACCATTGATGATTCTTGGGATGGATTTTTTTTCCTGGTTTGGATCTTGCTAATACTCCTGCGTTGAGCCACAAAGAACTGATAATGACATCTTTTAAAGAAATTAGAACTCCAAAATGACCCTAAATCAGTTTTCACTTTATAAAATTTTATTTTATTTTGAGACAGGGCCTCGCCCTGTTACCTAGGCTGGAGTGGAGGGTCCAGTCATAACTCACTGCAGCCTTGAACTCCCAAGTTCAAGCAATCCCCCTGCCTCAGCCTCCTGGGTAGCAAGGACTTAAGGTGCACAGCACCATGCCTGGCTGATTCTTTTAATCTTTTTATTGGGAGAGAAGGAGTCTCACTATGTTGCCCAGGCTGGTCTCAAACTCCTGGCCTCAAGTGATCTTACTCCCTTGGCCTCCCAAAGTGCTGCGCATGCCCAGCCAGTTTTCACTTTTAAAATAAATTACATCTTTCAAACATACCAGGCACCAAAATATATCACATTTTATTAGAAATATTTATATTTGGCTAAATAAAAGAAGGGGATTTTTTTCCCCTATGCTCTTTGATCATTTGATCTGTTGAAAGTGTAAACCATGAGTTTACACTTGAGAGATGACATGGGTCTCAGTCAATTTTAAGAGTTTATTTTGTCAAGGTTAAGGACGGCCCATGACACAGCCTTAGGAGGTCCTGACAACGTGCTCAAGGCGGTCTGGGTATAGTTTGGATTTACACATTTAAGGGAGACCTGAGACATCAATCAATACCTGTAAGATTGGTTTCGTCCAGAAAGGCGGAACAAGCAGCTGCATTCTTCTGAGTTTCTGATTAGCCTTTCCCTGAGTACGATGTACAGGAATGTCACTTATGCCTTAGTCTGGTTTAGTGAAACCACAGGGCAAAGGGAACACTCAGATATGCATTTGTCTCCGTGAACAGAGGGGTGAGTCTGAGTTCTGTTTTCCTTTTGTCCACAAGGGACTTCCTTGTGGGCAAATTGTGAGGAGGTGTGTGGCTTCATACCTTTGCAGCCATCTTATTGAGGAATAAAATGGGAGGCAGGTTTGCCTGGCAGAGTTCCCAGCTGGACTCTTCCCTTGGCTTGTGATTTTGGGGTCCTGAGATTTAATTTCCCTTGACAAAAGCAAGCTTCCTTTAGGATACTTTATCTACATTCTGCCAACGACCAAGGCGAAACAGTGGAAACGAACGCCTTCCACCTTCCAGGTCCTGAGGTCCCGCAGTTACCATGTGCGTCTTAACTGTAGACCCTGAGACAAGAGCTCCTCAGCCTCAGGGCTCTCCTGGGCCTGCACCGACGTCACTCAGATTCTTTGCTCTGCTGATCCCTGGTCCCTTCTCTGATGCACTTCAGAGCTGGAAGGATTGTGTGAGCTCGTTATGCCAAACCCTCCAACGAGTGTGTGAATGTCCAGGCCACGTGAAAATGTCGTGTCATTGAAGTGCAGGTGTCATTACCTGTAGATTCAATGCCTGCGTCTCCTGGAGTTTTGCTAATAGGAAAGTCTACAGGCAGCCGTTCCAACATTTCTGACAAGAATAACAAAATATATTAAATCTTATACTACATATTATGGTTACAAAATATATTTACTTTAAAATTTTAATTGTTATTTTAAATTAGTATTAAAGTGTGTTGATTGCAGGAAGAGGATGCATCATGGGGAGGTTTGGCCAGGTTTTGTTTAAGGTCCTTTAGGGTCCCAGGATTTTATAACTTGTGAGATTCTGAGAGTTTAGAGTTTCCCACTCTCAACATGGATCTGATTCATTTGAAGAAAGAGGGATGATATCGTCAGTGGGGGTTCACAGTTCATTTTTTTGTAGGCCATGCTGTGTTGATGCTTCACTGAGTTGCCGAAAGTGGGTCCCGATCCAGACCCCAGGAGGGAGTTCTTGGACCTCACTCACGCTGGAAAGAACTTGGGGCGAGTCCATAGCGTGAAGTGAACGCAAGTTTATCAGCAGGAAAGTAAAGGAAGGAAGAAGGGTGCTCCGTAGGCGGAGCGCAGCCTGGGCTGCTTGAGTAAGGACACTTAGAGCTGTTTGTCAATTACATGCTAAACAAGGGGTGGATTATTCGTGAGTTTTCTGGAAAAGGGATGGGCAATTCCCGGAACTTAGGGTTCCCCCCCTTTTCAGACTATACAGGGTAACTTCCTGACGTTGCCGTGGCATTCGTAAGCCGTCATGGCACTGGTGGGAGTGTCTGTTAGCAAGCTAACGCCTTAGAATTAATGTTAAATGAGCAGTGAGGACGACCCCCTTGCCACGCTGATTTCGGTGGGTTTGGCCGCCGGCTCCTTCGCCAGATGCTGTTTTATCAGCAACGTCTTCCTGACCTGTATCTTGTGTGGACCTCGCATCTCAGCCTGTGACTCCTGGGAGTGCAGTCCCGTGGGTCTCAGCCTTGTTTCGCCCAGCTCCCATTCAAGATGGAGTCCCTCTGGTTTGAACACCTCTGACAGCTGTATATGAGAAAAATGAAATGACAATAAATGTCTCACTTCTATTTAGTAGAGTTTTTCATTAAAATACCTTTTTCTCATCTTTCAGTGAATAACCCTATACCTTCCAATTTGAAATCAGAAGCGAAAAAGGCTGCCAAAATATTAAGAGAATTCACAGAAATAACTTCCAGAAATGGACCTGATAAGATCATTCCTGGTAGGTAAATAGGATGAGTGCTGTTTGTGTCTAAATGTTTTTTTCCTAAGTTGTTTTTTGCCTTCTTCGACACTCCATTTCAGGCAGAAGCCTCCATCAGTGCCAACAGGTGGTTTCACCAGCGTCTTTCTCATGGCTGATCCAGGGATGCTCTGGAAACAGGTGGTTCCACCAGTGTCTTTCTCATGGCTGATCCAGGGATGCTCTGGAAACAGGTGGTTCCACCAGCGTCTTTCTCATGGCTGATCCAGGGATGCTCTGGAAACAGGTGGTTTCACCAGCATCTTTCTCTTGGCTGACCCAGGGTTGCTCTGGAAACAGGTGGTTCCACCAGCATCTTTCTCTTGGCTGATCCAGGGATGCTCTGGAAACAGGTGGTTCCACCAATGTCTTTCTCATGGCTGATCCAGGGATGCTCTGGAAACAGGTGGTTCCACCAGTGTCTTTCTCATGGCTGATCCAGGGATGCTCTGGAAACAGGTGGTTCCACCAGCATCTTTCTCTTGGCTGATCCAGGGATGCTCTGGAAACAGGTGGTTCCACCAGTGTCTTTCTCATGGCTGACCCAGGGATGCTCTGGAAACAGGTGGTTCCACCAGCATCTTTCTCTTGGCTGACCCAGGGTTGCTCTGGAAACCACGACCTCTTCATCACCACTTCCGGTTCCTTCCAAGGGGTGTTCACAGCACAACTCATTTCATGCAAAGGAGATCCAAATGCCAAGTCACTTTGGTAATGTTACAGACCAGCCTCCCTCATAATCACAGCACATGACTCAGCTCTGTTTGGAAACTTTGTTATTGATATCATAATCTTAATAGTGATATAATAATGATGTTAATTACTGTTGCATTCCTGCCACTTCTCCCATCATGAGGAAATAGTCCTCACAGAGCCTTGTTACTCCAGGTGCAAGGGGTCTGGACACGGCCAGCTGCAGATCAGGCAAACCAGCCAGACCTCTTTCCTCCCTGTGTCTCCCTTTTACATAGGCTTTTCCTCCTGCTTCCCACCCCGGGGTTCCAGCGCCCTGAGCACCACATGTTCCTGCTCCACTTCAGCTCTCTGCAGCCTCGCCTGTCCTTTGCATCGCGTGCTAAGAACTCTGCAAGCTAACCTCGCAAACTCACCAGCTAATCTCATACATAAATTTTAATTTTGTGTTTTCTCCTTGCACATGAGACATTTACATTCTCGAGTGGTTTAAGAAGACATTAATCAGTGATTCCCAACACAGATGTGCATCGGTACCCCTAGGCCATAGAAACAGAATTCTTAAACTGCACTGCAAACCTGCGGAATCAGACTTTTAGTGTAGTGTGTCGAGGAATGCGTGTTTGACATGTGGTTTTTTTGTGTAATTCTTATGACTAGTCATTCTCTGACTAGTGACCATATAAGCTCTGGTCCGGGGGGCGTCTTTGAAAACCATGGCCTGTTCATCACCACTTCTAGTTATTTCCAGAGGGTGTTCACGGCATACTTGTCTCATCCCAGTCGGTCTGGACAGTGTTACAGACCAGCCTCCCGCTTAGTTAATCACAGTGCATGACTCTGAGTCCTGAATTAAAGAGCTAAGTTTAATTTTTCTAAGCCAGATATCTGAAGTTATTTAATAGAGCTTTAAATAATGTTTTAAAAATTTGTTACTGTTTTAATAATGTGAATCATGACGTTAATCATTGTTGCACTGGCCCAGTGACTTCTCCGGTCTGGAGAAAACAGTGCTTGGTAGAGCCTTGCCACTCCAGGTGCAGTCTGAACCTGCACCTTGGCAGACCCTGGGAGCTCCTGAGCAATGTGCTCAGACGTCACAGATCTGTCTGCATTGCTCACACGGCCCCAGCGAGGCACACACACAGGAGTTTCAGAAGCGCTGCTTTACAGCTGAAAGAAAACTCAACAAGACAAAGTAAGATTTTCAGTATCCGTACTCTAAAGGAGTCACTCTCAGTGGGTGAAGCTCGGAAAATGACATTCTGTTTGCGTGGTAGCGTGAGTAAGAGATTGCCCGAGTGTGGGTGTGGCAGTGAGGAGAGTGCCACAGCCAGCAGAGATACAGGCTCACTTCTCTCACCTGGGAGTCTACATTAAAACAGAGATGCTGCATCACAGGATAATCAGCTGCATCTACAAAGCACTTAAACAAGACACCTGGACACCTTAGACTTCCTAGACTCCCACACAGTAATAGTGGGACACTTCAACATCAATATTAGATAGATCGATGAGACAGAAAATTAATAAGGATATCCAAGACTTGAACTCAGATCCAGAACAAATAAACATTTATAGAACTCTCCACCAGAACAAATAAACATTTATAGAACTCTCCACCTTAAAAAAAAAAAAAAAAAGCAAGACACCTATGTCTTTAGACCTCCCAGTGGTGTGTCTGGCCTCCTCTAATGCTAGGGTTCTGAGTTAAGTGAAGCTTAGTTTAGCAATTAAATCTATAATCGTGACATTCTATGTTATAAATCAAAAGCGAACTGGCAGATTATTTAGGGATTATTAGTATTTCAGCTCCCTGAATCTGAGTGGAAATCTATACAAATATAATTGACATGTGGAATATATTCATTTTAAAACCTGCTTTTGCTAATATCTAATTCTCAATAGGAGCAATAGCAACTCTAGAATGTTGAAAGCAGAATGTGAGGAAGACATTCTGCCAACAGGTGGCTGTAAATATAAACCTGCACGATGTATAATACAGCTTTCAGTCTTGTTACAGTGTAGTTCTAACCTTTTAAAATAGAAAAGGAAAGTACACTTAGGAGCCAGCCATCCAGGATGCAACCTTGTTCTCCATAACTTTCTAAGAACAGCTCCGCACATGTTCTGCCTGCGGACTTCATGGTCTTGGATCCGTTACTTCCAAGGGTCTGTTCTTAATGTAAATCTTGAAATGGTGGCATAAATACCTGAGAATTTTAGTGTTCTCCCGGGGCATCTGCAAAGCCTGTGCTCTGTGTGCCAGAGCACCATGTCTGGCTTCACTTTCTTGGCAGAATATTTGATACAAATAATAATAAACTAAACTAGCTTAAAGTCATATGCTAGGCTCCCCTCGTTAGTTTGAAAGAGGTATTATTGTGTTGTAGGTTCACAGAGTAGTGTGGCACTACATTCAGTGGATACATATAGTAATAACCCTCATTTATGTAATGAACGTCTCTGAAATGTGACTAAGCCAATATTTTTAAATTGAACATATTATAAGTATACTAGGAGTTAAGTGGTACTTGAATGCTCTAACAGATCATTTTATAATGTTAAAAATGTTTCAACATTGAAAAAGTTTTTTTCTGTTTTTGAATCCAAATGTTTATATTAATACAAGGTTAATTTAGTTAGATGGCTTTAAGATCAAAGTTCTAATTCATGTGGCTTTTTGGTAATTTTTAAAGTTTTTCCTTAATACTGTATGGACCTTAATTTCTTTGAAAATAGTAACTTTTATCTTTTACATTGTATACTATATTCTAAATTAATTGAAATTGCCAAAATATTTGCCCTGCTAATAGATAACAGTAAAATCTCTTTCAAATATCTAATTTATCTAATTTATTTATCAAATAATTTGTCTAATAAATTTGATATTTGAAAGATATTTTATTGATGTCTATTAGCAGGGCAAATACTTTGCAGGATTTGGGGCTATTTAAGATGTTGTGTTTAGCGCCGCAGAAATAGCAAACACAGAAACATGCGTGGGAATAGAGAGGCTTGTGCCCGGCTGTTCAGTGAGTGACCTTTGTTCATTGCCCCTGTGTGCCCTGAACTCCTAGGGAGAGCCCCTGCGCGCTGACTCGGGGTAACACGCCCGTCTATCCCGGCATCCAGATAAAAATGCTGACCTTCCCACTGTTTTCCACGTTAACAGCTCACGTAATTGCGAAGGCGAAAGGCCTTGCGATTCTGTCTGTGATCAAAGCCGGGTTCCTGGTGACCGCCCGAGGAGGCAGTGGGATCGTGCTGGCGCGCCTTCCGGACGGAGGTAAGTGGGCATCTATCTGTTCACGGGAGTGGAGAATCCTCGTTCTTTCTTCCGTCTGCTTCCAGGATGAACACGTTGCAGAGCGAGTGGGGCAGGTTCCCTGCACAGCAGCAGAAACTTACCTAATGGGGGCTTCTTGACCGAGCGCGGGTTCGGTGTCGGGAACAAGGGCGGGAACCGGCCCTTCTGTCCCTCTCTGTCCTCAGAATATTAGACAAGTCTGGGCAGTGGACCCGATTTTGTTTTGCATGCGTTTTGTAATTCTTCCACGGAGCAAATATTTAAACACGGCAGTATATGCATTTCTTTTGTTTAATATGAATTCTTATCCCTCAACTTCATGGTATGGCTGCTTTCTTTTTTTTTTTTTTTTTATGGAAATTGATATGAAAATAAGGGGCCACGTGTGAACTTCTTTGTTTCTGTGGTGGTTTATAGAAACCGTGACATTTGAAGAATTTTCCCCAAGGCAGAATTGTATCAAGAGCCAGGATAATCTAGTTTTACTTTCTGGGGTGAAATCTACTACTTGATTCTTTAGAGATGAAATCAAAATATTTGTTATGAATCCCAAGTACCAACATTTATAGTAATATTTAAAGTGGACATAGGTGTGTCAAAACCAAAAAAATGCTTTTTATACCAGTTTAACACTTGCTGTTCAGTGGACACATTTTTCTACCAGTAGCAGTTTTTTAAGCATAGATAACTTTATTATATTTTGAGAGAGCATGGGACACTTAGAATAAATATAGAATATACATGTTTGTGAAACAAAGCCTTTAAATATCAGTCACCAGGATTCGCCATTTCTTTTTTCTTTTTTTTTTTTTTTTTTTTTTGAGACAGAATTTCACTGTTGTTACCCAGGCTGGAGTGCAATGGCGCGATCTCGGCTCACCGCAACCTCCACCTCCTGGGTTCAGGCAATTCTCCTGCCTCAGCCTCCCGAGTAGTTGGGATTACAGGCACGCGCCACCATGCCCAGCTAATTTTTTGTATTTTTAGTAGAGAGGGGGTTTCACCTTGTTGACTAGGATGGTCTCGATCTCCTGACCTCGTGATCCACCCGCCTCGGCCTCCCAAAGTGCTGGGATTATAAGCGTGAGCCACCGTGCCCGGCCAGGATTCACCATTTCTTACCAAGGTTGCCCCACAGTCAACAAGAATCTCTTCCTTAATATGGTGGTCCATTTTCATAGCTGTGTGTAGCTTTGAAAATAGGAAGAACACAATTATCTTTTTTCAAGCATTATCCAAATTTCCATGAGCAGACTTCTCGGCAGTAAAACCAAACGAAATAGAGGCTCATTTCAAGGGATCCCATTGTCAGATGGGACTCAAAGTCTACGAGAAAGTCTCCAGTGTCTCAGGTCCCCAGCTGTTCCATTGACCGGATAACTTCCTGACCAGAGGAAGGGACGGTCAACACCAAGCCCTGGGCTCCTCTCAGAGCCCAGCCGACCTTCCTACTGGTTTCAAAACCTGCAATTCTCTCCCTTCGTCCTGAGCTGCAGCTGCTGACTCTGCTGAAAGTAATTTTAAAACTGTCTAAATAAGGCAGGACACGTTCCCCCAGGATCCCGGCCAAGACCAGGCATCTTAACACAGGGACAGTTCCTGACACAGGGAATGAAAAATAACTTAGGGTTTATCAGACACGAATTTCTGTAACCCAAACTTCTCTAAGCCTGGATAGGATAGTGCTGGAAGTTCCAGCGATATTCCATTATCTAGCATGCATGGCAGCAAGTTTTCAGAAAGTGCTTTGGCCAGACTGTCCCCCCACCAGAAGGAAAATACATTTTTCTAGACTTGTTTAACTGTTTCTATATCAAGAAAAATAAGCATATAGTAATCCTAAAATGTGCCATATCGTGGCAAACGGAATTACTGTACTTAGTTTCTAAATGTGATTTATCTCGTTAGAATTTTAATAACCTTGAATTTGTTGTGCTTAAGCATTAGAGGTGTTAAAACAGTTTTGCCTTCAGAAATTTACAATGGAAACAACGATCATGTTACTGTTAGATCATAAACTATTGAGTCCTTCTGATCACTTAAATCTATGACAAAATTCTGGCTGAAGACTAGAGCTACAGCTAAGTTGCTTTATCAAAATATTGACAGTTGAGGATACCAAGTGCTTATGTATGGTTAATGGTTAGAGAACCAGTGGTTGGTTTGGTATTAAGCATGTTGGTAGAGAGAGATTAGAGGAGGTGGGCTAGTGACGCGGTGAGACTCAGAATGAATATCTAATCCTTTTCAAATATTTTTAACTGTTTAAAAATTACATGTTCTTTTTGAAGAACACTGTAAAATAGTGGGAAATACCGAATCTCACTATTTTAAATAGAAACAGTCGTTAGAGTTTAGCATTTTTCCTTCCTGTATTTACATGTGGAAGTGTGTTAATGTTGGGGTAACTTTTCTGTCTGTCTGTTTTTATTAGCATGGTCTGCACCCTCAGCCATTGGGATAGCTGGCCTTGGTGGGGGATTTGAAATAGGAATTGAGGTAAGTAAGTGGATTGTGCATATGCACACAACTGCCATAGCCACTGAAGACTCCCAGGTGCCACCTGTGAAAACAGAGGTTTCCTAGTGTTCTGTTACCAGTGACACCTAGGAAAATTGCTTCCTTTATTTTCTTGATGAATGTCTAAATGAAGCTATCTGATGGTTCCCATTTTCTTTCCTTTTCTTTCACCAGGAGTGGGATTTCTCTCATTCACCATTTTATCTGCTTCTGCCTCATGCACATCTGTATAACAGGCACATCTCATCCCCCGGCCAACTGTCCTTTGCAGTTTATGGACTGCTCATGGCAAAGCCACCATCCTCCTTCACTGGGCATTGAAATAACCTGGGCAGTGCATCATCATTTGTGGCGAAATCCAGTTTGTAACTTAGGATATTCAAATGCCTTCCAGTTCTTTAAGTAAAGAAGAGCTTCACGTTACTCGAGTGTGTAACGTTGCTCCTGATTCTGGCATCTGTGGGACGGAGTGGACATTGCCCGCCAGGAGGTCTCCTTCTCGGCCATCCTCTCAGGGCCGATGCTCATCTCCAATCCATTGTTTTATTTGTAAGGGACTGGAAATCAAACCTCCGGGTACGCTCAACTCATTTTCTTCTCAAATTTCAATTTCTTCATGAGCTACCCTGTGTAAATGTGCTCTGTTGTCATGGTTTTAAATTCCCTCAGCCTTTTTAGGAGGAAGTACTTCTAACTCTTCTCTCATCTTTATTTAATCTTCTTTACTCACTGCTGTATAAATCTCTAGTATAAAAGGAATACATTTTAGTTTTGCTTATCATGACGGCATTTTTGTACTATATGCAACCAAATCATAGCTTTCCAAAATATTGCCCTCTGGTGGAAAGTGCGTTTTCATTAGGAATTGTGGCTTTCTCCCCTTCCTTCTCCCCTCGCTCCTTCCCCTCTCCCCACCCTCACCCAGTCTCCCCTCCTTCCCCCCCTCTCCCCACCCCCACCCAGTCTCCTCTCCTTTCCCCTCTCCCCACCCCCCCCCAGTCTCCTCTCCTTTCCCCTCTCTGTACCCCACCCCCCCCCTCTCTCCCCACTCCCACCCAGTCTCCTCTCCTTTCCCCTCTCTGTACCCCACCCGGTCTCCCCTCCTTCCCCCCTCTCTCCCCACCCCCACCCAGTCTCCTCTCCTTTCCCCTCACCCCAACCTCACCCAATCTCCCCTCCTTCCCCACCGTCTCCCCACCCCCATCCAGTCTCCCCTCCTTCCCCCCTCTCTCCCCACTCCCACCCAGTCTCCTCTCCTTTCCCCTCTCTGTACCCCACCCCCTCCTTCCCCCCTCTCTCCCCACTCCCACCCAGTCTCCTCTCCTTTCCCCTCTCTGTACCCCACCCGGTCTCCCCTCCTTCCCTCCTCTCTCCCCACTCCCACCCAGTCTCCTCTCCTTTCCCCTCTCCGTACCCCACCCAGTCTCCCCTCCTTCCCCCCTCTCCCCACCCCCACCCAGTCTCCTCTCCTTTCCCCTCTCCCCACCCCACCCAGTCTCCCCTCCTTCCCCCCCCGTCTCCCCACTCCCACCCAGTCTCCTCTCCTTTCCCCTCTCTGTACCCCACCTGGTCTCCCCTCCTTCCCCCCTCTCCCCAACCCCACCCAGTCTCCCCTCCTTCCCCCCCCCGTCTCCCCACTCCCACCCAGTCTCCTCTCCTTTCCCCTCTCTGTACCCCACCTGGTCTCCCCTCCTTCCCCCCTCTCCCCACTCCCACCCAGTCTCCTCTCCTTTCCCCTCTCCCCACCCCCACCCAGTCTCCCCTCCTTCCCCCCTCTCTCCCCACCCCCACCCAGTCTCCTCTCCTTTCCCCTCTCCGTACCCCACCCAGTCTCCCCTCCTTCCCCCCTCTCCCCACTCCCACTCAGTCTCCTCTCCTTTCCCCTCTCTGTACCCCACCCGGTCTCCCCTCCTTCCCCCCTCTCTCCCCACTCCCACCCAGTCTCCTCTCCTTCCCCTCTCCCCACCCCCACCCAGGTCCCCGGGCCCTCCTTCTAGAAAGGCCTTTTTCTCTCAGCAGATCCTGCCACTAAACTGCTGGCTGTGCTGAGTCACCACCCTTCTCACCACCCTCTGGCTCCTTGTGAGGCTGGGGCATGCTGTGAGCATCTCGGGGGCATGCCTTGAATATTTATTTCAAAAATGATGAGCGACTCAGTCATGAACTCTGTATTAAATTTCAGTATAATAAATACCAAAATTGAGAGTTTCCATGGTAATTCTTTGAAAAGGTTGGACTGTTAGCCATAGAGCCCATTAGTCTAAAACAAGTGCAAGTAAAACATAATCGCATCATCCTGTAAATGACATAGGAAGACATTAAATAGCATTTGATAGACCGATACACCGTTTTGGTGTTTTTTTTGACACAGAGTTTTGCTCTTGTTGCCCAGGCTGGAGTGCAATGGCGTGATCTCGGCTTATCGCAACCTCTGCCTCCTGGGTTCAAGTGATTCTCCTGCCTCAGCTCCCAAGTAGCTGGGATTACAGGCACGCACCACCATGCTGGCTAATTTTGTATTTTTAGTAGAGACGGTGTTTCACCATGTTGGTCAGGCTGGTCTCGAACTCCTGACTTAATCTCTTTTGCATGCCATGCAACCTTGGCAAATTATTGAGCTGCTGATGGCTGCAATTTCCTTATCTGGAAAATAGGTGTAATAATAGTGGCACACAATCAGGCAGACTCATGTTTAAAACCTGCCTCATTATATAGTTACTGACATTTTTTAATCATATTAATGCTCTGAAGTTGACGTTTTCATATGAGTGACAGAAAAATCCTATTACTACCAAATGAGACTATACTTGAAAGGCCCTAAGAGAGTTCCTGATACATGTATGTTCCTTAATAATGTTTAATTTGAATCATTTTATGATATAAAATACACTCAAGATCTGTAGGACAAACTGAATCTACCAGCTCGCTGACCCACACAGGATGCTTCAACTTGACTCTTGCCAAGCGTTCCTTTTGTTTTACGTATGGACAACTTCTGAGATTGTGGTGCCGAATGGCACAGAACTATTAAGCTTTTCTTATGCAAAGTTAAGCATTTTCGCCGATGAGTGTATAACCCGTATCTTATATGTATTATGTAACAAATTTGTCTTTCATAATGCGTGACACGTACACACTCAGAAAACAAATTTTCTCCCATGACCTTGTAGCTACACTGGTTGTGATGTTCTCCTTCTGCCTGGCACATCGTGATACAGTTAACACATCGTGATAGGCACAGCTATGAGAGGCAGCTAAAGGAAAAAAAAAAACATCTTTTGATTTTTTTTTCTGATCTCTCTTTAGTTCTTGCGAAATAAGAACTAGATAATCCTGTGTTTTTTGGTGATACTGCCAATTAATCTGAGAACCAGGTCAAGAGCTCCGCAGACAGCCTGGGAGCCTGTGAGCAGCAATGGCCCTTGGTTTATTTCCACAGCTTACAAGAAGGAGCAAGACAGACGTCCCGCAGGGATCTGGAACTGTTGAACAAAAGAGGGTAGTGGAGTTCACACCTAAATATTTTTAATTCTGAGCCCAAATGCTTAGCGCCGTGCTGGCACTCTTTCAACTTCCCAGGTGCCCTCGACACGTGTATCTGACTCTCCCAATAGTTCCATGAGGTGTAGGTCCCAGTAAGCAAATTTTAAACACAGAGACCCAAAGGCTGGTTAAAATACCCCAAGGTGCACAGCTATTGAGAAGAGGAGCTGAGGTGGATGCTGGTTCTCCACACCCGGGGCTGCCCTGGCCCATGCTGCCTCTCATTTGATGGGCCGTGTTATTTTTTAGTTCTAACCTTGGGCTTCCCCACTACAGTGATGAATTAGAGAAACAAATCCTTTCTCCATGTTGACATGCCTTGAGCATTCAGTTGAGTCTCATTGTAGTTTCTGCTTTTATTTAGAGAAAAATTAAGTCAGTCGGGCACAGTGGCTCACACCTGTAATCCAGCACTTTGGGAGGCTAAGGCTGGTGGATCTCCTGGGATCAGGAGTTTGAGACCAGCCTGGCCAACATAGTGAAACCCATCTCTACTAAAAATACAAAAATTAGCCAGGCATGGTGGTGGGTGCCTTCAATCCCATCTACTCGGGAGGCTGAAGTGGGAGAATCACTTGAAACTGGGAGGCGGAGGTTGCAGTGAGCTGGGATCACAGCACTGCACTCCAGCCTGGGCAAAAAGAGCAAAACTCCATCTCAAAAAAAAAAAGAAAAAGAAAAATTAAGTCGTGGAAGTAGAAAACTACTTTGCTTTCTGATATGTTGAGCTTCTGTGACCTACAGTGAAGTGGACCACGTTCAGCTTCCTAGCAGGGGGACACCCCTTGCCAGGAGGGGCCTGCAGAAAGCCTCCCAGGGCCTTCAGCCCCATAGACTCTGCTGCTGTGCTCTTTGGGCTTGGCTTTTATGAAGTGTTTAGTTTCATGAGATCAGAGAGCATGCTGGATCCCTTCCTCCAACCTTTGATTTGTTAGCACTGACAGTTTAGGTAACCCCACTAAACCTTAGAATCACCGCCTACATGGCCAGCTTGTTTGGAAGATTAAAGGACATGATGCAGGTAAAGTTCACAGTATACACATGGCACACAGTAAATGCTCGCTTCAGTCTGCCATAATTACGGTAAAGCTCACAGTATACACTTGGCACACAGTAAATACACTGCAGTCTGCCGTAATTACGGTAAAGCTCACAGTATACACGTGGCACACAGTAAATGCTCGCTGCAGTCTGCTGTAATTACGGTAAAGCTTACAGTATACACTTGGCACACAGTAAATGCTCACTGCAGTCTGCTGTAATTACCTGTGGCAATGTACGCTTTATGATTCATCAGCTCAAAATAAAAGTAGGACTCTTGTTTGACATTCTTTGCTGTCTATACTGATATTTTGCTACCTTGCATATGGTATAGTTGAGTTTTAGTCAAGATAAATTTTAAATGATATTTCATCTTGACTATTTTTACATCAGTGGGTTTCTACGTTTTAGGTATCAGACTTGGTGATAATTCTGAATTATGACCGTGCTGTAGAAGCTTTTGCGAAAGGCGGAAATCTAACCCTCGGCGGGAACTTGACTGTGGCTGTCGGGCCCTTGGGAAGGTGAGTTCTTTGAATAGATGTTAGACAGTAAAGACTTAACAACTGCATATTTTATTTTACATTAATAGGAAACTTGAGTTAAAATGAGCAGATTTTTGCATCCCCAGATTTATGCTGCCCAGAAGATTCAAGGTTATCACAAACAGGAAATTCACAAAACACAGCCAGTGAGATAAGCTAGAAAATCTGAAACCAGAACACACAAGAAGAATGAAATGTTTTAGAGATATAGGCCATTGTGTCTGTCAGACTTGAACATAAAATCCACCTTAAGCTTTGAGGGAGCCAAAGGCAAGTCAGATTTTGTGATAAAGTTCAGCTTCAATTGGAAAGAAAAAGCTATTTTTCAAAGTAAATTATAAAAATTGGAAATGGATGTTTCTTTGAGCCACGTTTATAGTACTTAAAGTGTATTTTTCTTCTCTATTAATGAAGTGCTAGTCTTGGATTAATTGTGCAATATCCACACTATTTATAGAAGTTATACAGTAAAATTAGCTAAAAATGTTTGTGAGTTCCATGAAAATAAGCAATGCAAAAAGACTCCAAATTCTTTAGCACTCTTGAGATGTATTTTCCAGTTTTAAGAGAGGAAGATCCAGTTGGAAAATATCAGATTTGCAAATTTTTAAAAATATATTTACACATTCTGCACTGTATTGTTTTGCAACACAGTTCTATACCCTCATGGCCTTCTGTGATACCTTTATATATGTTCTTCCCCCGGCCTGCTTTTCCTCTAGACCACGTTATAACATCTAATTTAGGCCTACAGTAAGTAAAACATAGAAATGGCTGAAGAAGGCACCGAAGGAGGTAATCAGTTTGCGCTGGAAGCCTGCTATTGAAATGGACTTCAGGCTCAGAGCTGCTATTGAAATGGTTGTCTTCAGGCTCAGAGCTGCCCACCGCTTTGTGATGCAAAATCTTGTGCTTTGCAGGAACCTGGAAGGAAACGTGGCCCTGAGAAGCTCAGCCGCTGTCTTCACCTACTGCAAGTCCAGAGGACTCTTTGCAGGCGTGTCTTTAGAAGGGAGCTGTTTGATCGAAAGGAAAGAAACTAATAGAAAGTCAGTTCAAGTTAAAGCGATTTTAATGTAAAGTGTGATGAGAAAATAATACTTCAAAAGTGAATATAATTTGCAGGGTACATTTATATATTCTTTTTACAATGTGATTTTAAGTGTATATCTTACATTTAAAAATCAAATATAAAAATAATCTATGCTCTAGAAAATGCAGAAGACACACAAAAAATAAAACAAATAAAAACATTCTATCCCTTAAAAGGCTAACACAATTCACATTTTCCTTTACTGCCTTCCAACATTTTCCTCCGCATAATTTGTTTGTTTTGCCATATATGATGTAATCACCATGTATATTCAGTTGTAAATACTGTTTTCCCACTTTACATTTTAAGATTAAGAAACACAAGCAGAAGTTACTCATGCTCTCAGTTGGAAGCACCGATTTCAGTGATTTTCAGAGGTCTCTGGACGGCACTCCTGGCTCACTCAGTGTTCCGCGCTGTGTGTCACCTTTGTCTTTTCTCCATATCGAATAGAGACCAGTTTAAAACACAGTTTGATTTTTTAAAAATAGAATCTGGAAGTATCCTAGGCGGTAAAGGGAAAATTCTACTTTAAACTGGCATCCGGCTAATTTTCCCAAAGATGCAAATTAAGTGGCTCTTACAAATTGCCACTAAAATATGTGACAGAGATAGCTAAGTCCGACAATGGGACTTCTTCCGGAACCTGCAGAAGTTCCACTAATTGCCAGCCTGATCAGGCCACACCGCTGCTGCTGGCTGTTCACATTCCCCACGTGCGGCAGACAGACCCCCCACTATCAGAGACAAAGCTTCCAGTGTTTACCCCACGAGTCACTCAGGAATTCAGCAGCACTATTTGATAAAGCTAAATATAAACCACAAGGGGTAGGAAATAGGAAGGACTGGGAAAAGCAAGGTTTGCAGAACTATTCATCTTAGAAAATCAAAAGTGAAGTATTAATTCCTGGTTTTATTAATTTGAGAAAAGTGTAACAGAAGAATGCTTTTAGAAACTGCTGGTTCTAGGCCGTTGGCAGGCCTTCCCACCGAAGTTCAAGTGAACCCTGGACAAACTAAAACAAATATGTTGCTTAATGAACTGCAGGGCCTCTAGGCATGTAAGGCAAATGTTTATTTAATCTCGATAAATATTTTAAGGAAATTACAAAGCCACAGTTATAGGCACGATTTTTAAAGAAACTTAAAAAGTAAAAACCTGTAACAGTGTTTGTGCTTGTGTGTATATTTTTACATGTTTATATATGAATATGTGTGTATTATATATGTGCAAGTGTAAGTATTCATATGATAATGTGGATATGCTTTATATTAATAAAGGGTACATATAAGGATATTTATGGTAGTGGATATGCTTTATATTAATAAAGGGTACATATGAGGATATTTATGGTAGTGACCTGTAGAGGTGAACTTTGGGGTAAATTTAAGACCTGAACATGGGATATTGCTTCCAGTTAGTGTTTAAGAAGTAGTCTGTGTGAACTGCTATATATGAATGATTATATACACTCACCATGTATGTGTGCACATGCTGTGCTTAACTCTAGAAAAGATTTGTGTAGATTAAAAATGCTTTTAATTTTGTCTTTCCTATTAGATTTTATTGTCAAGATATCCGAGCATCTGAAATTTTATTTGGAGACACACCACGGCCTGCTCAAGCCGAAGATCTTTATGAAATTCTTGATTCCTTTACTGAAAAGTATGAAAATGAAGGACAACGAACCAATTTGAGAAAAGCGGCAAGGCAGCAGAGGAAGTCTTCTGTACTGTTTGGTTTTACGTTTCACTCCGTATTCTCAGAAATCTCTTTCTGTGGAAAATTCTGTCCTTGATATCAGGTTCCTAAGAACCGACTAAGCCTCCTTCATAGTTCACTTACTTAAAGTTCTTGTGAAAATGTCATGCTACCTTGACATTTCCTCACACAAATTTCGGGGAAAAACATAATTCGTCTTCTGTGATTGTATTTCTCCAAGAATGAAACTTTGCTGTATCAATCATACAAATAATATTTGGGAGGCTGAGGCAGGTGGATCACTTGAGATCAGCCTGGTCAACATAGGGAAACCCAGTCTCTACCATAAAAACATTAGCTGGGAGTGGTGGCACATGCCAAAAATCTCAGCTACTCAGGAGGCTGAGGCAGGAGGATCGCTTGAGCCCATGAGGCTGCACTGAGCCAAGATCATGCCACTGCACTCAGCCTGGTCAACAGAGCAACACCTTGTCTCAATAATAATAATATGAATATGAATATGAATAATAGTTGTGGATACTGACACCTTTGTACATTAGGTCTTGAGGCACCAAGGGATTTGCATACCTTGTTCATCAGGTTCCACAGCACCTTTCAGAGTTGGTTTGATGCCTATTTCATAGAATGAAAAATGAAGCCCTGGAGTTTGTCTGCCACTGCCTCTGCCAGTCACTTGCTGAGCCAGTTACTATGACACCGTCCCTGCAGCTCACTCAGACCTTGCACAGTTGGTCAGAGGTGCCGGGGGGGGCGGTTAGCTTCAGGCATGAGAAGAGCACACCCTGTCCACATCCAAGTCTTGTCATCCAGTTGAATTACATGGAGTCTGGAGGGTGCATGTGAGCTTAGAGAGTGCCTCATTATTAAGCACATAGGATAAAAGTTTGCTACGTAAACTCGTTAGAAAAGAGGTATATGTGCCTAAGTAAAAAGATTTTAAAATTATGTCTATTTGTTTTTTGTTTCTGCCAGGCGAAAGAATTACCTCCAAAGCCATCGTCAAGACCACAGCAGTCATCTGCACCGGCCCAGCTGAACTCTGGCTCGCAAAGTAAATTTTTTGTTGCAATTCAAATACAATTGTAATTAAGTAATTATTAAATGTTAGTGTTAAGAAATCAAGGTGCATCGTTAAACTTTAGAGTCAAATAGAAGAACTAAGGAATTTAAGAGAGTAAAGTAAGTGCTTAGCCTCTTCTAAATGCATAAGACAAATTCTCATTGCTATAATTTGTGAACGCTTCTGTTCCTATTCATAAGATACTTTCCTAAATCTACAAAGATATTTATCTTTAAAAGTTTTTTTTATTTATTTTCTTTGCCATTTCCTCCAAAATCCATTGTCCTCCTGATTTGAAATGAGAACAAGATAAGCCTATTTATAACTCCGAATATCAGTTTTGGCATATATTCTTTGGAGCTCAGGATTTCATAAGACGGTTTTCAAACTAGATGAAATTTATACAGCACCAGGTTTTGGTCTTTTTCTTTCTGTCATTCATTCGTGTGAATCACTCTTGTGTTTCTGCTCCTCGTATATTGAGGTTACCAGTACAGAGGAGTATACTGAAGTAGGGGACTTGCGTGTGGTGATTGACGGTCATACAAGAGTCATTGTGCTATGACTTTGGGTGCACAAAGGTGACTTTAACTTAGAACTTGCCTCTGGAGAACTTGCGGAACAGGAAGAGAGAGGTTACATGTAGGAACATAACTGCTCTCAGTGGAAGAAGGCGTGCGATTAGTTTTGTGGGAGTCAATGGTGAAGCTCTGCAGAAGGCAGGACGCGCATCCTCTGCCTCCTCCTTACTTTGCTGTATTCGTTTTCTCCAGTGTTGAGCCCAAGTTCCTCACACGATTCTTGGCGGTGCCTTTGCCTGGTCTAAGTTCACCCTCCCAGGAAGATGCTCAGGAACCAGGCTTGTTCTTCATTCCCCACCTGCCCCCTCACCTGCGTCTGTCCCCTGTTCTTTTGGGATGAGGGGTGGTCCACTGCTGATTCACGTTCAGATGATTGATTTACTGAGATTCATATTTCCAGTGACTAATGAGATGTGAACACTGAATTTATATTTATTTTAGATCTGAGTGATTATATAAAATTTGACCCATATGTATGTTTTAATATAAAATGTCCTCACTGAGAATGGATACCTGCATATGCATATATAAAATCCTCTCATGTATAAAAATCCCAGTCCTCTTAGCCTCAAGTCCTTGTCAGTGTGGATTTAAAAATGACTTTACCTGAATGAATTCCTTTCAGTTAACAGTTGAAAAGCTGCAAAGGTTGTTACTGCCGTATACCCCTTTGAGCGAGCTTTTTCTTTTTCTTTTTCTTTTTTTTTTTTTTGAGACGGAGTTTCGCTCTTGTTACCCAGGCTGGAGTGCAATGGCGGGATCTTGGCTCACCGCAACCTCCGCCTCCTGGGTTCAGGCAATTCTCCTGCCTCAGCCTCCCGAGTAGCTGGGATTACAGGCACGTGCCACCATACCCAGCTAATTTTTTGCATTTTCAGTAGAGACGTGGTTTCAGCATGTTGACCAGGATGGTTTCGATCTCTTGACCTCATGATCCACCTGCCTTGGCCTCCCAAAGTGCTGGGATTATAGGCGTGAGCCACCGCGCCCGGCTGAGCGAGCTTTCTAAACACAGGGGTCTTGCCTATGCCCGCTTCTGGGTCTTTCCCACAGGGACTTGTGTGACTCATATCTTCCCCAAACCCTTTCCTGGGGAGACGGGCGGTGCCCTCCCCACTTCGCACAGACACAGCGGTGTCCCTGCTGGTGCACAGGGCAGCCTGGTCACATGGCTGCAGACCCAGCCTCACCCAACACACCGTGAACACTCCTTCGCCCTTCACTGTTTGCGTACCACCCTTGGCGTCTAGGCCACGGCGTCCGCAGGACACCGTCACTTCTCACGTGCCGTAGCTCTCAAGCTATGAACATCAGTTTTTAATTTAGCAAACCAAAAGTTTAAAACTAGTGTGGACTTTTAACCTTTTATTTTAAATCTGACCTTTTCTTAAGGTCCTTAAGATAGATACACACACATATAATGTTACATACATGCACCTATGTTCATATGGATGGTCTGTGATGCAGTGTTTTTCCCATTTCACCTATATTTTAATTTACAAGATACCCTCTTCTATCCTGATTTCAAGAAACCCGTGTTCACGACATAAAGTGTGAACTTTTATGCTTCCTCTCCATCCTGGTGTAGTCCTACACACAGCATGTATGAACATACACGTAAACATGGACAGAATATTTTATTTTGTCTCATAAATATGCTATCATCTTATATGTGCTTTAATGTATCTTCTTATATTTAATATGTTATTTGTTATTTTGTTTGGCTCAACAATTCCACATATAAATCCCTAAGTCAACTGGTATAGCTCTAATTATTTCTTTTTAATAATTATTTAATATTCCATGTCACAGATGTACAAGTTTACTCAGTCACTCTCCTATTGATGGATATTAACTTTATTTCAGATTTTTTCCATGCCAAACAGTGCCATAATTGATACACTTTCAAATTAATATTTATATACACTGGCACTTTTGTTTTTTTTGAGATAGTTGACAGGAGTGGACATTATAGGTCAAAGAATATATTTTTAAAGTTTTAACATATTTAGCAGATTACTTTTCAAAAGTTTTTACTAAGAGTCTCATCAACCATTTCCCACCATAACACTCACCACCATATGCGTTCCCCACTACAGGCGTTCCCCACCGTGTATACTGCCCAGCACGTGCAATCCTAGCCATATATACACTCCCCCATAACATTCCCACCATAGTAGTTCCCATTACATGTGCTTCCCACCCTAGGCATTTCCGACTGTGCACATTTCCCTCTATGCACCATATGCATTTTCCACCATATGCATTCCCCATCATGTACACTACCCACCATACGCATTCCCCAATGTGTGTACCACCCCCCATGCGCATGTCTTACATGTATACTCTCCACATGTGCATTCTCCACCACATATACACCCACCATATTCTGTACCATGTATACTACCCACCGTGTGCGATCCTAACCATATATGCTCCCCACAATATATACACTCCCCATAACAGTCCCACCAAGTCCTCACTATGCAGGCTTCCCACCACAGACATTCCCACTATACACATTTCCCACCATGTTCACTCCTCACTACATGCACTCCCCACCGTGTACCTTCCCCACCACTTACATTCCCCACTATGTACATTTTCAATTATAACATCCATTATGACATTCTTCAGCATAGACCTTCCTCACTGCAATTAATGTAGAAGCATCTAGAAGATTTTGGAATCAAGGCTCATCACATCTCGTTGTTCATCAGATTGTATTTATTCCTATTAGTGAATTTAAACATCTCTTCATATAATTGCTGGTGTTTTGGATTTAATTTTATCTGAAAAGTCTCTTCATTTCATCGGTCTATGTTTTCCTGTTGGAATATTTGTTGCTGTCTCAATTTATGGAAATGTTTAGATATTACAGATTTTGTTGGTCATTTGGGTTGCAGCATATTTGAACATTTATCATTTTTCTTTTGATCTTGTTTTTCATAATTTTACTATATGAAAGTTTTAAGTTTTATCTAAAAATGTGTCTATAATTTAGTTTTTATAGATATGGTTAAGCTCTTCCCACCTCCTATACAAGAGTGTATTCATAGTTTCCTAGATCTTCCTGTGATATTTTTATCTTTGCATTTACTGGATACTTAGTCTTCATATAATTTGAGATTGTTTTCCCAATTTTCCCTCCTCCCCAATATACCATTCTAGTTGAAATAGTATTATGTACTTGTATTCATTCCATAATTTTTCAGTGCTAATTACAGTAACATTACATGTATACATTTATTCATTTGAGAGATAATAATTTTATTTCATGCTCTCCATTTGTTGAGATTTTGTCTTTCAATAAGATTTCATGGTTTCTGTGCCTTTTGTGTTAAATTTGTTCCCAAGTACTTTGCTATTTTGGTTTGCTATGGCGAATGGGATGCACTTTTCTGTTTCTACTTGGTGCCTATTTTCACAGTTAAGGAAATCTTAATTTGCATGTATTTTGCTTATCTTATAGCTGGTCACTTGCCCAAAAATATTTCTAATCAGTTTTTAAAAATCGATTCTCATGAAATATTTGTATCCTTTTTCCTGTCCCACCAATGTTTATTTCTAAATTCTTCTTTTCATAAGTTTCTTAGGCCAATGGCCTTTGAACTGGTATATGCCTGTCTTTAGGGGTATGCAGAGGCTGCAAAAGGGTGTGTGGCTCCTGGAAAGTTCTATTTAAAGCAGTCCAGCTGAGAACATGATGTGCAGAGTATGCTCTTCATTTTCTATACTGTTAGAATCATTATTTGTACACTTGAAGAAGAAAAGCAAGCCCCAGACCATCCCACCTATCACTGCACTACACTGCCCTAAAGCATCAGAACAGGAATCCAATGTGAAACGTGGATGTGGATGTGCAGGCAGTTAGTGAAACAAGGATGGGGATTTGCAGGCAGTTAGTGAAACGTGGGTGTGGATGTGCAGGCAGTGAAACGTGGGTGTGGATGTGCAGGCAGTGAAACGTGGGTGTGGATGTGCAGTGAGTGAAATGTGGATATGCAGTTAGTGAAACGTGGGTGTGGATGTGCAGGCAGTTAGTGAAACGTGGATGTGGATGTGCAGTTAGTGAAACGTGGATGTGGATGTGGATGTGCAGTTAGTGAAACGTGGGTGTGGGTGTGGATGTGCAGTTAGTGAAACGTGGGTGTGGATGTGCAGTTAGTGAAACGTGGATGTGGATGTGCAGTTAGTGAAACGTGGATGTGGATGTGGATGTGGATGTGCAGTTAGTGAAACGTGGGTGTGGATGTGCAGGCAGTTAGTGAAACGTGGGTGTGGATGTGCAGTTAGTGAAACGTGGGTGTGGATGTGCAGTTAGTGAAACGTGGGTGTGGATGTGCAGGCAGTTAGTGAAACGTGGATGTGGATGTAGATGTGGATGTGCAGTTAGTGAAACGTGGATGTGGATGTGTATGTGCAGTTAGTGAAACGTGGGTGTGGATGTGCAGGCAGTGAAACGTGGGTGTGGATGTGCAGTTAGTGAAACGTGGGTGTGGATGTGCAGGCAGTTAGTGAAACGTGGATGTGGATGTGGATGTGGATGTGCAGTTAGTGAAACGTGGATGTGGATGTGCAGTTAGTGAAACGTGGGTGTGGATGTGCAGTTAGTGAAACGTGGATGTGGATGTGCAGGCAGTTAGTGAAACGTGGGTGTGGATGTGCAGTTAGTGAAACGTGGGTGTGGATGTGCAGGCAGTTAGTGAAACGTGGGTGTGGATGTGCAGTTAGTGAAACGTGGGTGTGGATGTGGAGGCAGTTAGTGAAACGTGGGTGTGGATGTGCAGGCAGTTAGTGAAACGTGGGTGTGGATGTGCAGTTAGTGAAACGTGGATGTGGATGTGCAGTTAGTGAAACGTGGGTGTGGATGTGCAGTTAGTGAAACGTGGATGTGGATGTGCAGTTAGTGAAACGTGGATGTGGATGTGCAGGCAGTTAGTGAAACGTGGGTGTGGATGTGCAGTTAGTGAAACGTGGGTGTGGATGTGCAGGCAGTTAGTGAAACGTGGGTGTGGATGTGCAGTTAGTGAAACGGTGTGGATGTGCAGTTAGTGAAACGTGGGTGTGGATGTGCAGGCAGTTAGTGAAACGTGGGTGTGGATGTGCAGTTAGTGAAACGTGGATGTGGATGTGCAGTTAGTGAAACGTGGATGTGGATGTGCAGGCAGTTAGTGAAACGTGGGTGTGGATGTGCAGGCAGTTAGTGAAACGTGGATGTGGATGTGCAGGCAGTTAGTGAAACGTGGGTGTGGATGTGCAGGCAGTTAGTGAAACGTGGGTGTGGATGTGCAGTTAGTGAAACGTGGGTGTGGATGTGCAGGCAGTTAGTGAAATGTGGGTGTGGATGTGGATGTGCAGGCAGTTAGTGAATGGCTCTTATGCACAGTAAATCCTTCCATCAGTCAGTGGTTTCTGTTTCTTCGCCTTCAATGCAATTGAAGAAGGACCTAATAGAATTTTTCATCTGAATTTATAATGAGAACACTGTGTGTCCTTCTGTGTCATACAGATATCAGGCATTTATCATCTACCTCATACTTACTATATCCCCTGGGCTTATTCAGGCATATCTTCGGACTGAAAGCACAATCACATGATGATGATCCTGTCAACTTAGTGATTTAAAATACTTGCTCGGCAAGGGCAGGATTTGGCAATTTTGTGTATTTTATATAATATAGACTAATACGTTTTCAGAATCACCATTCCCCTCTATTTTTTTTGCAGGTAACAGAAATGAGTATAAGCTCTATCCCGAACTTCCCAGCTATCACGACAGAGTTGGTAAATCAATAACCTTATATGTTATAAATGACTCATATTCATCTTGTGATCACAAACTTCCTAACCAATCTGTTGGTTATGAAAATCGGTGAGAAATGTCCAGCCCTTTTCTTTATAGGATATTTACATTCTTTTGAGAAGTACTTCATTTAGAAAATGTTGTGCTCAGTCCTCTTACCTGCCTTTCAGATAGTGAGGGTGATAGGAAGCTGGGTAGGGAGCGTGTGCTCAGGACAGTGTGGCGGAGCCAGGGAGCCATGGTATCGTCTGAGGAGCACGTGAGATTTGAATTATGATTTGATCCTAATTGCATTTTCTTTGAATTTTAGCCCCATACATTTTATATTTCTAAGAATTTTTTTATTTTATTTTTTAAGCTCAAATGTTTTGTTATTATTGGGAAATACTTTATAAAACTTGTTAAGATTTACCATAGAAAAAATGGTCCTTCCACCTGTCTTCTTTAAATATTCTTCAGAAACTTTCCTGGAAGGAATTGAGCAATTATTTGCAAATGTGAGTAGGATACAAATTGAGAGCAAAATTAAACAGTCAAAAAGTAGTCCGTTTATTTTTCCACATTGAATACTTCTGTCATTGGAGTCGCAAAGCTATATGCTGCTGGATATATAACTGTCAGAGAATTAAACATTTCATGTTAATAAAATACCAAAAAATTAGGTACTCAAGCATAGTTTTAAAATCTATATCATACAGATAATAAGTATGTCGTAAAGGTCTCTTAAGCAGCATCCCCTGAAGAGGTCCATTTTCCTGATGGATTTAGGGTGGGTGACCTTTCTTTTCTCCCTGGCTTCTCCTCCTGGGGGTCCCCTCTGGTTTTTCCCAGATGGTTCTTCTCCGAGGAGGCTGAGCGTCTGCTCTCAGAGTCCTGTATGGAGAGCAGGTGTGATGGCCTGGCGCTCACCCACAGAAGGTGTTGTGCTGTGTCTTAGTATACAGACAAAAAGCTCTGAGAGGTTTTAAAAACGTGTTTTACCCTTTGTGGTTCACAGCCATGTTAGAGGCCATGTTAAAGGGAAATCAAAGCTTTGTCCTTTGGATGCACGTCCTTTAGACGCAAAAGTGATTACGGTATAAATGTTTACACCAAGACAGCGAAAAAACATCTAGATTTTTATCTTACTTTTGAAGACTCAAGATTAGACTTAGATTTGTGTATCTAGTTGATACACAAACTTCCTAAACTTGACAAGGTGAGCTGACTGGCTGCGTGCTTGGGAAGGGAAGGCATCCCGACAGAGAGACAGAGCTGAGGGAAGCTGGCTGCAAAAAACTGAGGCCACGATCCCCCAAGGAATGCCATGGTCATGGGACACTGGGAACAAGAGTTCCTTTCATCAGAAACTTCTCATAAATGGCACCAAGGAAAACTGTTTCATGACATGGAACTAAACTCTAAGTGGGCTGTGGAGACAGAGGTTCCGGCCTGAATCCTGAACTTTCATTTTCCAGTGGTGTGATCCGTGGCTGTTCTTTGGTTGATTCTGTGTTTGTATTTGACGATACGACAAGGTACATTGTAACTCAGTTACAAGTGAGTTAATATTCCTCTAGCGCATTCTCCAAAGAGGCTCTTGAAGAAAAAAGCGGGAGATTTACGTCCAATTTTTAAGTAAAACTTATTTTACATCACTGTATTTTTTAAGAAGCAGCTGTGAAGGCATTTACCTGTTAGCAAGGATTTCCTCATGTCTGCTTACCATCATTGCACAGAAAGTCACAGTTACATGGCCCCAGGGCCTGAGCCTTAAATCAAAACCCTGATGGAGCAGGTCATTCAGTCCTCCACGAGCGAGCTCCTGAATCTGTCTCAGCCCCACAGACGGTTGTCAGGCATGACCATCCGCAGCATCACCTGTCCTGTCCTCCCACCATCTTTGGCTTTGCCCTCTGGAAGTTCCAGCTGCGTAGTTCTTGGGCCTCTCATGCCTTGCAAATGCACAGTGCAATTTTCCGATCTTCCCTGTAGGGACTCTGGAAGGAATGGTTTTGTAATCACAAGCCTGGACCCTCCTACATATGCATTCTTCCCTTCCGCTTTCCCATCCCATACCTGTCAGGGACAGGGTTCCTCAACCTGGGTACTTCGCACAGTGTAGGCTGGATAACACTTTGTTGTAGGGGCTGCCTTGTGCCTCAGAAGGTCCTTAGCAAAGGCTGTGTTCCTTGGTTGTGACCTTCCGAAGGCTGCGGCTTTTCTCCTGAAACGGATCAGGCCAGGTGTGCTGACTGCACGGGGGCTGCCTTATGCAGGCTCCATGAGAAAGTGGACTGGAAGTCAAACAGGGACATCCACCGGGCAGCCTTCCTAATCATGGGCCTCAGGGCAGCTGTCAATCACCAGTGCTGACTGTACTCTCACTCTGCTTCCTGTTTGGGAAAAATAACCAACTTGAACTAAACCTGAATATTATAAAGGAAATGGCCAATTCCCTCAAAGATCCTTCAGATTTTTTTAAGTCCACGAGTATAAAGCTTAAAGACATATGGTATGTAGAAGGAAAGGCATCTGTGAACATCCAGCTTTTTAGTAACTCAGTGGGGTTTGCTTCCTGGTAACCAGGAAGGGCCTTCTTCGTGTAAGGAATCATCACTTGGTTTACCTTTTTTTCGTGGAATCTTTTGTGGGCATTAAACTTCTCATTGTGAAAATTATCTCTAATATTTACATTAAAGAGGAACTTTAAGTCATTTGGAGTTTTTCAAAGAAAAAAATTAACAGGGTGCAGCACTCACAGGCTGGTGAACTGTTACCTCAGAAAGCAGATAGGCTGCTGGCTCTGCCAGCTTCACTCCTGTGGTTTTCAGGTGGATGGAGTTTCTCCAACATGACTCTCCTGTACTCCTCCCAGGAGGCAGAGGCATTGATGGTGAATTGGGGGAGGAACCGGGTGAGGCATTCGGCACAAGGAACAGAGTCAATTCACTTCTTAGCCTCAGGAAAGGAGAAATGTCAGATCGCGGCCCTCAGACCTTCAGCGGCACCCTTGCCTTTTAGCTGCGTTGCCCCTACCCTCGTCTCCCACTCTGCTTTGTCCTCATTTCATCAGGAATCTGCACTTCAGAGAAAATTAGGCAATACCTGAATGTGAGGGCAGGGACTAACCAGGTCTGTGATCTCTCCTTCTTTCTTTTCTTAGTTCATATTTATTTCTCTAATTATTCATCATAAAATATGTTCCTGAAACTGCTTAGAACCAATTCAGTTATCAGGGATTCCCCAGAGCCATAGCAGCAATGTTATTTGTGTAGACAGGATAACCCAGCGATGCCAGTGGCACACTCATCCTTCCAGAACGTTTGCCTCATAAAAGTAAATGCTCTGATAAATGTCACTTTGGTCTGTTGAGCACAATTTAACATTGACGAGGTTGCTGAGGGTCTTGGACAACCTGGAGACACACTTCATTGGATCCTGACTTTAGACAAATCACTTGACATCTCTAAGGCTCACTTTCAACTTCTGTGGCGTGGGGTAGGAGTAGCTGGCTCATTGCAGTGAGCGCTGCCCACCGTGAGTGTCCCCCTGTGACTGCTGGCCGCGGTGCCTGAGAACACGCAGTGGCGGCTCTTCCCAGATGCACATCGATCGCCGCCGTTATCACTGTCATTGTCCTTACTATGTGTTTTTGATTTTATAAATGAGATTGCAAGAGGATAAATGCATGGTAGCTAAGATGGCTACGGCCCCCAGAACGTTCCCTGATGTTCACAAGCACTCTTCTAATTCGCTTCTTCCTACTATCTAACATGTCTGGGGGGTGTCCACTGGTGTGGTTAATCAGGATGCAGCTTTAGATGTGGATGTACCACACAGAATCGTGAACCGGAGATTCCCAGGACGGGTTTTCTTCAGCGTCAGCTTGCACCCTGATCTGATGCAGGGAAACGAGGCCTGGGCACCTGCGGACCCTCGTTCAGCGCAGGTCCCTTAACAGCACGGCAGCAACTGCTCCTACGTGTGTGCAGCTTAACGGCGTGCTCAGTTTAACTTGCTTCTACTGTTTCTAGACTATGTCAAAATTTTATTTTGGTGACATTCTTTTAACCTTATATCTTAAGATTGATAAACTAAAAGTAAATATTAAAATATTAAATAATATTTTAATATGTATATTGTATATATTCCTATATTATTTAATATAAAATAATACAATAAAATATTTAATTTTATTTTTTTAATATTTTATTAAAATATTTTATTTATACTAAATTTTATTTATATTTTTATTTGATGTAAAATATTTTTAATATATTCACATATTATAAAAATAAAATATACAGAAATTCTTTGTATTATAGAAAAAAGCAGTATTTATACCAGCATTATCTCTAATTTAATTGTATCATTCATGATTAGGTAGAACTCCACTAGATGGTACATACTTTAAAGAAAGAACTGTAGCACCATCTTGTGTGAGCTACAAATTCAGGTTTTAGTAAGTGTAGTTTAAAGTGTTGGCTATTTTTATTTCTTACTGATGGACCAAGTTCACATTATAATTATTGTTGTTGTATTAGGGGTTCAAATAGGACCTGGCTGTAGTATCTGGTTATTGAGGTTTTCTATGTGTCTGAACATCTAATTGCCCAATTTATGCACAGAATTCTATGAAACACAGAAGCATCAGACTCCCTAGAGCTGAGTGCTTAAAAACTGTTTCATTGTATCTTTATGATGTTATATGGTTTATAATATTTAATGTCCTTTATTCATGTTAACTGCTCAATTCTCAAAGTATTTTCTTCCTTCTACAATACTTGGTTATACACATTGCATTGAAATACTTGTGAAACATGTAGAAATGCTTCTACCTGTGCTAATTCCAATTTCATCTCTGATACTGAGATAATAGATCAGTTAAGCATGGAAATGTGAACAGCCACAAAGCCCAGGGAGAAGTGTCTGCTGATGAAACAGCAGACCACGGCTGGGCTGCAGTTCTCAAGCCCAGTCAGTACAGAGCCGGGTTTTCAAGTCCAGTCTCCTAGGATTTGACCATGAGCTCACATACCAGCCTTTGTCCAGCATCTGTCATCCATGAGGCTGTACAACTGTCTTAGCCCCTTCCAGCTGCTGTAACAAAATGCCACAGCCTGGGTGGCTCATAGACAACGGAATTTTATTTCTCACACTTCCGGAGACTGATTCCAAGATCAAGGTGCCAGAAGACGAGGTGTCTGGCAAGGGCTGTTTCTGCTTCACAGATGGTGCCATCTTGCTGCGCCCTCACAAGGAGGAAGGTGCAAGAAGGTCCCTTTGGGCTCTGTCTGTAAGGACACTGATCCCATTCATGAGGGGAAACCTAATCACCTCCAGAGACCCCACTTCTAACAACATCACCTTGGGGTTGAGGATTTCAACACTTGAATCTCAGGGGGACACATATTTAGACCACAGCAATGACTACTCTATTAAAATGGAAAAAAAAAAACATAAGTTGTATTATCTCATAGATTATTCAAAATTCTGACAATTTTAACCAGAAGCATGTGCTAAATCCATAGTTAGGTATACAATAATGTGCAGACAAAATAAGTCTAATAATGTGATGCAAATTGCAGACTGTGTGCTGTGGGTTCTGCCAGCCTCCAAGACACCAGCATGCCAAGCACTAAGTGGTTAATTTTTATCTTACCAGCAGATACTCCCAGTTTTTCCCTAATGAACATAAATATGTGAATACTTTTTTCTTGTTTCAGGCAATTTAAATCCACCCATAGAAGTGACAGCACTGTATTCATTTGAAGGACAGCAGCCTGGGGATTTGAATTTTCAAGCTGGAGACAGAATCACAGTAATATCAAAAACAGATTCGCAGTTTGACTGGTGGGAAGGAAAGCTTCGAGGACAAACTGGCATTTTTCCAGCCAACTATGTAACCATGAATTAAAGCTTATACTATTTTCTTCTTTGAGAATTACAAAAAAAAATTTTTCTACACTGGCAGGATTTACTAGTTAAGCAATGTTTAATACAAATTTACAAAAAAACTTCTATAAAATTTCCATTCAGTATCTAAAATATTTTGTTTTCCTATATAAAAAGAGTTACCCTACATATCTTTACTTTGTACTAACTTTATCACATATGTTGTGTCATAGACTATCCTACAGTTTATGTGGTCATAGTTCTTTTGTGAACATTTTCAAATATCACGAAGCATTTGACCTGGCTATGTACATGGTAGCTGTATTTTAATTTAAGAATTTTGAGGGTAGCGCCATGAATGCCAATTCATACATTTCTATTTGCAAAGTGACTAGCGAAAAAGAAATCAGCTTACAGGAGGTATTCAGTAACGTTTAGAGTTGTGTTAACTAGAATATGAATCCTTAGAAATCATCTTTATACCTTCAAAAATTGTACAAATGCATTTATCATAGAAAGATGATTACAAGAAGTCTGACCACCATGTATTTAAAAATATAACATACCAACTTTTCTTCCTTATGGGGCTACGTTTGTTCATTTCCAGCAGTAGAAGATACTTACGGTGACAAGGTTGACTGGTCTCTAAATAAAATTTTAAAATGTTTACTAAGTGGATATTTCAATTTTGTTTTCTTACTTTTTGTAAGGTAGGCAGAGGTCCTATATCTCATATGCAGGGTAAAATCCACCTCCATTTGGGATCCCTGAGCTCCAGACCCCCCTCTCCAGCTGTGCACCTCGCAGTTCCATCTGGACAAGGAACAACACCGCAGGCCTCATGGGCTCAAATCCAAGCTCTTCTTTGTCCCCACTTAGCCTGCCCCCCCGCCCCGCAGTGTTCCTCTTCAGGAAATGGAAATTCCATCCCTGGATGTCCTCGGTCCTCAGGGTGACTTCAGAGCCATCATTCATTCTTTTATCTCATGCCCTCTATCAAATTCACCATAGATTCTGTTGCCTTTCAGACACTTGCTGACCCAACATTTTCGCTCCCCCCATGCCCACCCCGAAGTGAGCTGCCCACTCAGCCCCAACTCCCCTCTGCCCACCCGAAGTGAGCTGCCCGCTCAGCCCCAAATCCCATGTAGACTCCTTGCTTCAGCCCTGCCTCCCCCAGCGAACCCTCCCGAGGGGAGCAGGTGCACATGGCACTGTTTGTCCTGCTATTCACTCTTCACTGCCTTACGTCATATGCACACCCGTGCATTTGCCTTTATTTATTATACCTTCTTAAGACATGGAAAATGAGAATGAAGTCCCATGTTATCTTCACCCGGAAAGAAGTAAAACATGATTATTTCCTTCTTTCTAATCCCTTTCCAATCACCACTGTCTCCTGACTCAAAGGGAACACACCCTGAGTTTGCTGTTTTGAATTCCACATATTTCTTTACATTTTACTACATATATTTGTGTCCTTAAGCACTATATGCTATTTCCTTCCATGCTTTTAAACTTAAAAAATTTAAACTTTTAAGCTTATAAAAAATACAATAAATTTACTCATTTACAATGCACTTATTGTAAAGAAACTGCTTTATATATTCAAGGAATTAAAAGAAAAAGTAGAGAATTTCAGCAGAAATTTGACACCATAAGAGAGAATTACATGAAAAACGTGAGGCTGAAAAGAAAAATAAACTAAGAAGACAATCAATGGATTTAACAGTCATTTAGACGTACCAGAAAAATGAATCATCGACCTGAAGGCAGATTGGAAACACGTCCAGCCTGAAAGCTCAAAGCACTGAAAACACTAGAAAGACCAAAAGAGACTTTATGGGATAAGGCAAGAAGGCGTAGAAAGTGAGGCGTGAAGGTTCTCGTCAAAAAGTGGAGAGAAAATCAGCAGGTGCTGGACATGAAGACAGAATGCCTGGGCATAGTCCAAAACTGTACAGACATCGGACTGCAGAGTTAAGAATGACTATGAACTCCATGTAGAAGAGGACAGTCACATGTGCACATCATATAAAACTGCTGTAAACCACAAAGATAAATCTAAAAAGTAGATGAGATGTTGATTAATGGGTACAAATGCACACTTGGAAAAAATAAGACCAGGTGTCTGATGATCATTCGGGTGACTACAGTTAACATTAGTCAATTACGCATCTCAAAATAGCGAAAAGAGAATAATGTGGATGTTCTTAGTGTAACAAAAAGATAAATATTCAAGGTGCTGAATATCCCAATGCCCCTGATTTGATTGTACAAATGCATCAGATTATCACATGCATATAAAAAACATGTACATCGATTACATATCAATCTTTAAATGCAGATGAGAACTTTACAAATCACTAAGATAATAAACACCACAATAAAAAATGGACCAAAGGTTTCATTGATTTCATCAATGAAAATATATGGATACTAAGTAGGGACAGGAAAAGATGTTCAATCTCTTTAACAACGAAGGAAAGCAAATAGAAACTGAGAGTGAGGTGTTGCCATACAATCTCTAAATGGCTAAAATGAAAACAAGGGATGATATTCCGTATGAATGAGGGTATACAGCCTGGAAACTCCCATGCCCTGAGGCTAGCAATGCAGAACTGTGTGGTTACTTTGGAAACAAGATGGCAGTTTAACTTCTAGCCCAGAGATTTCATTGTTGGGTATCTGTCCAGGAGAAATAACAATACATGTCCACATAAAGTATTCTAGGATGTTCAGACTTGAGAAAATCCAAATGTTCATCATCTGTTTAGTGGATGGAAAGAATCTGCTCTACCTGCACCATAGAACACGACTCAGCTATAAGGAATGGACCCTAATACATCAACAATATGGTGCATCTTTACAGCATTTTGCTTCATGTCAGAAGTCAGAAACTAAAGACTACATAAATCCACTTACATAAAATTCCTCAAAAGGCAAAATTAGAGTAATGAGAAGCAGATAAATATTTGCCAGGTGCCCGAGGTTGGAGTAGGAACTTGACTGCCAAGGCTGACAAGGGCACATCTTATCATGATGTTAAATTTAATAAATCTAAAACAAATACATAATCCATGTGCCTATCAATGACCTGTTAATATTTAGCAAGCTAAAGTATATTGGACAAAAATATAAATATGAAAACACAGATTAACCCACCTATCAGCATACTGCAGATCAAGCAGACAAAACATATAAATGTATAGATTATATATAAATAAAAGGTATCCAATTGATTTTATTTGAAACTGTACCCTGAAATTAGGCTGCCTATTTATATCAAGTATCCACAGGACATTCCCAGAAGTTGGCAATAATGCCACGATGAAAACTTTTATGCCACTATGAGAAATCATATAGATAATACTTCCTGGCTCTATACTAAAATAAGAAAATCCACGCTAGCTTGAGAATTTCAAACTCTTAACAACTCAGGTTATATACATGTGCATGTGTGTACGCACACATGTGTGTGTAGAGTGAGTTTATGTGTATACACATGCACAACACCCATAAAAATCCTAATGAAAGAAAATAAAAGATAAATGACTATGTTACTTAACTCCTTTCAATTAAATTCAAAAATATAAAAAATCAGTTTCATAGTATTAAAATTGTTTCAGAGGATAGCAAAATAATGTCCAAATACTTGAATGATTTGAGCCTAATAGCAAAACACATCTCAGATTATATCTTTTAAAAAAAGTCCAATCTCATTTATAATTATTGCTACACAAATCCTAGCAACACAATGACGTGATAAAGACCAGGGGTAAACCTCAGGCTTGTTCAATATTAAGAAATCTATTATCATTCATCCTCTTAACTGGTCTGACAATAAAAAAAGATCATCCTCATACATCCTGAAGAGGCATCTGACAAAATTCAACCTCCATTTTTTTTTTTTTTTTGAGATGGAGTCTCACTCTGTCACCCAGGCTGGAGTGCAGTGGCGTGATCTCGGCTCACTGCAACCTCTGCCTCCTGGGCTCAAGCAATTCTCCTGCCTCTGCCTCCCAAGTAGCTGGGACTACAGGCGCCCAACACCAGCCCCAGCTAATTTTGTTTTGTATTTTTAGTAGAGACAGGGTTTCGCCATGTTGGCCAGCCTGGTCTTAAACTCCTGACCTCAGTTGATCAACCACCTCAGCCTCCCAAAGTGCTGAGATTACAGGCAAGAGGCACAGTGTTGTCAACTCCATTTTTTATGAACACACTCAAACAGGAGTAAATGGTCTGGATACTTTGTTAACATAACTAGGCTTACTTTATCACTGGAAAACATGAGAAGCATCCCCTTACAATAAGTCAGAAGGAGTCACCATCACCGTGACGACTCACTGTCATCCTGGAGGCATTCACCAGTGAAATTAGAGGAGATGGAAATGAGAAATGTAAAAGTTAGAAAGGAAGAGATAAAGAAACTATTACTTTCAGATTATAAGGTGGGATACTTGGGAAATCCAAGTGAATCAACTACAAAGAAACAATAGCTGCTGTCAATAATGAGGAAATACAGTAAGTTTCAAACTAATAATCAAAATGTGTAGCTTTTATATTTACCAAGCACAACCAGTTAGAAGATGTAATGAAAAGAATATTTCAATTTTACAAAGCCACCAGAAGTGTTAAATACCGAAAAAAAAATAAAATAGAAAAAATGTTAAGACTTAATGAGGAAGATGCTCTTTACAGACATACAACTTAAAGAAATGGACTAGGATAGACGATTCTGGCTAAGAAACCTAATAAAAACAACAAGCTTCTTTGGGCTGTTTCTTCCGGAAAAATAAAACCATAGGATGATGAGCCTACCACTCTGAAACACACCCTAAAACTGCAGCAAGCTCATGGGGCAGTTATTCTCACCCATCGAGGATGAAGATGAGTGTTTCCTGCTAAGTATGTGAGTTCTTCTCTCCCATCGAGGGTGAAGAGGAGTGTTTCCTGCTAAGTACGTGAGTTCTTCTCTCCCATCGAGGGTGAAGAGGAGCGTTTCCTGCTAAGTACGTGAGTTCTTCTCTCCCATCGAGGGTGAAGAGGAGTGTTTCCTGCTAAGTACGTGAGTTCTTCTCTCCCATCGAGGGTGAAGAGGAGTGTTTCCTGCTAAGTACGTGAGTTCTTCTCTCCCATCGAGGGTGAAGAGGAGTGTTTCCTGCTAAGTACGTGAGTTCTTCTCTCCCATCGAGGGTGAAGAGGAGTGTTTCCTGCTAAGTACGTGAGTTCTTCTCTCCCATCGAGGGTGAAGAGGAGTGTTTCCTGCTAAGTACGTGAGTTCTTCTCTCCCATCGAGGGTGAAGAGGAGTGTTTCCTGCTAAGTACATGCGTTCTTCTCTCCCATCGAGGGTGAAGATGAGTGTTTCCTGCTAAATACGTGAGTTCTCTCCCATCGAGGGTGAAGATGAGTGTTTCCTGCTAAATACGTGAGTTCTTCTCTCCCATCGAGGGTGAAGAGGAGTGTTTCCTGCTAAGTACGTGAGTTCTCTCCCATCGAGGGTGAAGAGGAGTGTTTCCTGCTAAATAAGTGAGTTCTCTCCCATCGAGGGTGAAGATGAGTGTTTCCTGCTAAATACGTGAGTTCTTCTCTCCCATCGAGGGTGAAGAGGAGTGTTTCCTGCTAAGTACGTGAGTTCTTCTCTCCCATCGAGGGTGAAGAGGAGTGTTTCCTGCTAAATACGTGAGCTGCTTGGTTTGCAGATTGTTAGTTTTCTTCCTTCCTGATTTTTGAATTCTCTTTATGTCACAGAGAAGAGCCTCCTTTTCCTGTGCTGTAAGCTGCACGTATCTTCTCCCAGTGTGTTTTTGTTTTTTTACAGTGTTTTTTGCTATTTTTAAAACAATTCACCTTTTTATTTTCCTAAGGCAGATTAGAGGCTTTTAGCATATCTCAGCCACATGGAAACAGCAAAATAGTATATAAAAGTCAACTCTATGAGCTTTAATTCAAGAAAGAAAATGGAAATCTACCAGAATCATGAAGGACACCCCAGCTCCCGGGAAAGAGGACATGGGCAAATAGCCCCCATGACAGCACTCAGCTGATAAAATTGAGTGAAGCCCCAGGACAAAAGAGCAAAGGGAGCCCCTCTGTGACTCCCCTCAGCAACCCAGCCATACTTTGCTTCTCCCAAGTCCTGGAGCTAACTTGGGGAGACACTTGGAGACCCTGAGAGGGAAACACACTGAGAAGAGCTATGGGTATTTTCCTAGACCTGGGATCAAGAGCAAGAGCCATTTTAAATCCAGGCACATACACAGTCAGCCATTCCTTGACGATCCAGCAGTGTGGCCATGCAGGCATTTTAGTCTCAGGCCAAAGACTGGAGTACTTGCTCTGAAGCAGGGAACCTCCATGGACAGAATCATGGAAACCATCTTGGCAGCAGGTGCTGAAATCGTGTTCTCCCGCATTGCAGGAAGGGAGTAGGAGGAGAGCTGCTATAACTGTGATTCCTCCTGGGTGACATGACTTGGAGTCAGAGCCAGCCTTGTAACCTGGGACCAGTGTGTGTGTGTGTCATTGCTTGGTGCCCTGGCCTGATTTCCTGAGAGCATGATGCAGCAGGGCCCTCTGCACTCCACCCCAAGGCAGAATTCCAGGCACTTGGAGCACCTGCTTGCCAGGACCAGAAGCCTGAGCTGTCCTGTCCTTCCTGGGCATAGATCATGGTGCAGTGGGGCCCTCTCCACTCCACACCCAGGTGGATATCCAGGCACTGGGAGCACCTGATCCCAGTGCAGGGGGCTCTCTCTGTCCCACGCCCAATCAGATCTCCAGGTATTTGCAGACCCACTCTTTCTGTGCAGAGACCATGTTGAAGCAGGGCTATCTCCACTCCATGCCCAGGCAGGTCTGCAGGGATCTGGAGCACCCACTCTAATTCAGCAGAGTGGGTGCTCCAGATCCCTGCAGACCTGCCTGGGCCCCTCCCTATACAGAGAACTTGGGGCTGAAAGCTTTCCCACCTTCACACCTCGGCACACCTCTGGGCACTTAGTGGCCACCCACTGGATTCTCCCTTGGCATGATGCTTATGCATGTAATTAGGTGATCTATAGGCAGATCTGCCTGGCCCTGCCAATTTTGCTCCCCTACCCCAGGCTGGGCAGGGAGCTCAGACCTCTGTGCACTCCATGGACCAGCCCACTGCCAGAGGCAACAGAGAGCTTCTCCCAGTAAACAAGGATCCAGTATATACCTAGCCGCTTGGCTGCAGCTAGCTGGTACTCATAAGCGCCATCTACTTGCCTGTAGGTCAAACTGCACATCCAGATATAAAACCTGCTGGCAGAAGGACATAGGGCTAAAGAAGCAAAGCCAAGAGACCCTACTCAACACTCTCTACAGTCACCCACCTGTGGAGAGGGGAAAGGGGAAAGAAAATAGTAATATTATGGAGACATAAAGAAAAAAATCCTATCCATACTAAAGTAATTATGTTAGAGGTGTCAGCATCTCCAGATGAAAAGGAACCAGCACAAGGGTTCTGGCACCATGAAACAAGAGAATTACAAAATACTGCTGAAAGAAATCAGATGACACAAAGAAACAGAAAAACATTCCATGCTCTTGGATTGGAAGACTCAATGTCATTAACATGGAATACTGCCCAAAGCAATCTACAGATTCAAAGCTATTTCTATCAAACTTTCAATGTTATTTTTCACAGAATTAGAAAACACTATTCTAAAATTTATGTAGAACAAAAAAGAGTCTGAATAGCCAAAGAAATCCTAAACTAAAGAACAAAGCCAGAAGGATCATATTACCCAACTTCAAACTATACTACAAGGCTACAGTAATCAAGACCGCATGATGCTGGCACAAACACAGACACAAAGACCCATGGAACAGAAAATAGAACTGGGAAATGAAGTGCATACCTACAATCATGTAACTTTTGCAAAGTCAATAAAAACAAGCAATTGGGAAAGGACTCCCTATTCAATAGACAATGCTGGAATAAACTGGCTTGCCATATACAGAACATTGAAACTGGACCTATCCTTTTTACTATATACAAAAATTAACTGAAGATGGATTAAAGATTTAAATGTAAGACCTCCAACTATAAGAATCTTAGAAGAAAGCCTAGGAAATACCATTATGGACATGAGCCTTGGGAAAAAAATTATGACTAACTCCTCAAAGGCAATTGAAACCAAAACAAAAATTGACGAGTAGGACCTAATTAAACTAAAGAACTTCCGTGCAGCAAAACAACCTACCAACAGAGTACACAGACAGCCAACAGAATGGGAGAAAATATTTGCAAACTATGCATCTGATGAAAGTCTAATATCCGGAATCTATAAGGAAATTAAACAATTCAACAAGCAAAAAGTAAATAATTCCGCTAAAAGGTGGGCAAAAGACATGAGCAGACACTTCTCAAAGGAAGACATTCAGGTGGCCAACAAACATAAAAAATGCTCAAATCACTAATCATCAGAGAGGTGCAAATCAAAACCACAATGAGAGATCATCTCACACCAGTCAGAATGGCTATTACTAAAAAGTCAAAAGGTAGAAAATGCTGGTGAGGCTGTGGAGACAAAGGAACACGTGTACACTGTCGGGTAGGAATGTAAATTAGTTCCGCCATGGTGGGAAGCAGTTTGAAGACATTTCAGAACATGCACTCATATGTTCATCCCAGCACTAGCAAAGACATGGAATCAACCCAGGTGTCCACTAGTGGTGGATCACATAAAGGAATGTGGTGCACATACACCACGGAATACTACGTGTCCATAAAAAAGAATGAAATCACCTCCTTTGCGGCAACATGGATATAACTGGAGGCCATTATCCTAAGTGAACCAATGCAGGAACAGAAAACCACCTACTGCATGTTCTCCCCCACAAGTAAGATATAAACAGTGGATCACGGACATGAAGATGGAAACAACAGACACTGCTTGAGAGGGGAGGGATCAAGCAGGGGCCACAGAACCTCCTACTGGGTGCTATGCTCACTGGACACAGAGACAAACCATATCATCCTCAATAGAGAAAAAAAAAAGAGAGGCAAAGCATAGGAAAATTAAACAGTTTGAAAAGGGTTGCAAAGTCTTGAAAGTCTAGAGCTTAAGACACATTCTTCTGAATCTGTAGAAATATTCTATGTTTAACACAAAATTCTCCAAACACTATTTGTATATCCTAAGATGTTTGCCCTACATTTTAAACATCACTAACAGTCCACTTTTGTTAAAAAAAAAAAAAAAAAAAAGATAGTCTCAGAATCCAAAATACTCATATATGTGTCTTCAGTATTACCTACAGTTCAGAAGTTTATCGAGAGTTTCTTTGTTTGTTTGTTTGTTTGTTTGTTGAGACGGAGTTTCACTCTTGTTACCCAGGCTGGAGTGCAATGGTGCGATCTCGGCTCACCGCAACCTCCGCCTCCTGGGTTCAGGCAATTCTCCTGCCTCAGCCTCCTGAGTGGCTGGGATTACAGGCACGTGCCACCATGCCCAGCTGATTTTTGTATTTTTAGTAGAGACGGGGTTTCACCATGTTGACCAGGATGGTCTCGATCTCTTGACCTTGTGATCCACCCGCTCCGGCCTCCCAAAGTGCTGGGATTACAGGCTTGAGTCACCGCGCCCGGCCGAGAGTTTCAAATTAAACTAAAAACGCTTGAGAAAAAACAACCAGAGGCGCTAAGTCTCTAATTGGGCCTCTTGTCACAGAGCGCAGAAGGTGCCTTCCCCCCACTCCCTTCCATTTCCGTGTCCTCAGTGGCTGCCGATGTGGTCACCGGATCAGCCGAAGGCGCAGGGAGCTGCTCAGGGCTCCAAAGACCGCGCCGAGCGGGACGGGCAGAGCCGCCAACGTCCACAGAGACGGCGACTGAACTTTAACAGCTGCTCCCCACGTTTCTGTTACCACCAAACCGCTTCCCTCCGCGGACGTCTTCGCTGGTTTAAATCTGGTCTTTCCTGCTTCCGAGAAAGTTAACACGAGGCCACGCGGGTTTTCCGACGTCGCCGACAGTCCCTGCAAACACCAGGTGGTGAGATGGGAAAGTCGTCGGCGGGAGCAGCGAGCGCGGGCCGCGCGGTGGCTCTGCGGGTTCCCGGATGTGCCGCGCGGTGGCTCCGCGGGTTCCCGGATGTGCCGCGCGGTGGCTCCGCGGGTTCCCGGAAGGGCCGCGGGGTGGCTCCGCGGGTTCCCGGATGTGCCGCGCGGTGGCTCCGCGGGTTCCCGGATGTGCCGCGCGGTGGCTCCGCGGGTTCCCGGATGTGCCGCGCGGTGGCTCCGCGGGTTCCCGGAAGGGCCGCGGGGCTGGGCCTGGACACGGGGCGCCTTTACACCCGCTGCGCCAGCGATCCCGCCGGGCGGTCACTCTCCCCAGAAGTCTGAAACGCGAACCCTGGTCTTGGGTCAGATTCCCGCTCCGTTTGGCCTGGCGTTGTGGGCAGACCACGGGATCTGGAGTGCTCGGTCCCAGGCCCGTTCTGCCCCCGCTGTGCAAACGGGGAGATTCACGCTGCCTCACCGCCCCCCGTCCCCCCATCCTCTAACCCCCTCCCACCCCAGCCTCCTCTGTGAAGCACCCACTTGCTGGGATTCCCAGGGGCGTCGGGAGGAAGGAGGCCGAGCCTCAGTGCTTTCTAAGTGCCCCTAATTCTTCCCTGGGGCAGCACGAACCATCCAGGCAGCTTCATTCCTACGGGGTACATACCAATTTCCATGAAAAGGTAACCTGGACTTTTTTTTTTTTTTTTGGCTAAATTAGAAACTGACTAAATAATTCTCACATTCCGTAGGGAACAGCCTCACACAACAGAAGGCTGTCCCTTGTAAAAGCAGCCTTCACACTCACAACCTCCCTGCAGTCAGAGTCATCCGAAATGGAATGACTGCAGGGTCTTCTACAATGGCGATAACAACTCGTTTACTGATTAGAAAACAAAAATAGATGAATTTTACAGAGAAAATCCAGTCTATCCACAGCCGTGAAATAAAGCTGCTAACGAATATACCATCACTAACGTGAGATATCAAAAATAAGGGAAATTGAGGTGATGGAGGATGTGGGAACTCTGTGCTTGCAGCTCAGTTCTTATGTAAACCTGAAACTGTTCAAAAAATGAAGCCTATTAGTTAAAAACTAGCTGAAACCACCACTTGATCTTATAATTTAATCCACTTATAAGTAAAACTTTTATTATTAAAGAAAAATACAGCTTTCACTTTTATATGACAACATTGGCCTCTTTTAAAGATTCAAACCCTCATATTTATGTCATGTAATTTAAACTTCTTAAGATAATTAGAGGTACCAGTCAGGGAATGCTCTGAGGATGACTTGCAGAGCTCCCTGTAGTTATCACAGGTACCAGGCTGAGAGTGCTCTGAGGATGACTTGCAGACCTACCTGCAGTTATCACAGGTACCAGGCTGAGAGTGCTCTGAGGATGACTTGCAGACCTACCTGCACTTATCACAGGAACCAGGCTGAGAGTGCTCTGAGGATGACTTGCAGACCTACCTGCAGTTATCACAGGTACCAGGCTGAGAGTGCTCTGAGGATGACTTGCAGAGCTCCCTGCAGTTATCACAGGTACCAGGCTGAGAGTGCTCTGAGGATGACTTGCAGACCTACCTGCAGTTATCACAGGTACCAGGCTGAGAGTGCTCTGAGGATGACTTGCAGACCTACCTGCACTTATCACAGGAACCAGGCTGAGAGTGCTCTGAGGATGACTTGCAGACCTACCTGCAGTTATCACAGGTACCAGGCTGAGAGTGCTCTGAGGATGACTTGCAGAGCTCCCTGCAGTTATCACAGGTACCAGGCTGAGAGTGCTCTGAGGATGACTTGCAGACCTACCTGCAGTTATCACAGGTACCAGGCTGAGAGTGCTCTGAGGATGACTTGCAGACCTACCTGCACTTATCACAGGTACCAGGCTGAGAGTGCTCTGAGGATGACTTGCAGACCTACCTGCACTTATCACAGGTACCAGGCTGAGAGTGCTCTGAGGATGACTTGCAGAGCTCCCTGTAGTTATCACAGGTACCAGGCTGAGAGTGTTCTGAGGATGACTTGCAGAGCTCCCTGTAGTTATCACAGGTACCAGGCTGAGAGTGCTCTGAGGATGACTTGTAGAGGTACCTGCAGTTATCACAGGAACCAGGCAGAGAGTGCTCTGAGGATGACTTGCAGAGCTCCCTGTAGTTATCACAGGAACCAGGCTGCGAGTGCTCTGAGGATGACTTGCAGACCTACCTGCACTTATCACAGGAACCAGGCTGAGAGTGCTCTGAGGATGACTTGCAGAGCTCCCTGTAGTTATCACAGGTACCAGGCTGAGAGTGCTCTGAGGATGGCTTGCAGACCTACCTGCAGTTATCACAGGTACCAGGCAGAGAGTGCTCTGAGGATGACTTGCAGACCTACCTGCACTTATCACAGGTACCAGGCTGAGAGTGCTCTGAGGATGACTTGCAGAGCTCCCTGCAGTTATCACAGGTACCAGGCTGAGAGTGCTCTGAGGATGACTTGCAGAGCTCCCTGAAGTTATCACAGGTACCAGGCTGAGAGTGCTCTGAGGATGACTTGCAGAGCTCCCTGCAGTTATCACAGGTACCAGGCTGAGAGTGCTCTGAGGATGACTTGCAGAGCTCCCTGCAGTTATCACAGGTACCAGGCTGAGAGTGCTCTGAGGATGACTTGCAGACCTACCTGCACTTATCACAGGTACCAGGCTGAGAATGCTCTGAGGATGAGTTGCAGAGCTCCCTGTAGTTATCACAGGTACCAGGCTGAGAATGCTCTGAGGATGACTTGCAGAGCTACCTGTAGTGAGCTACTCTCTGGGGCAGAACTGTGCTCTTTGTTACATTTTTCAGAAGCAAGAGATCCTGATGGATATACATACAAAAGCATGGATTTTGGAAGAACATTCAGTTCCACATGGTTAATGAACTTCTGAGCCTCAGAACACGTTTATCACATGGATTTAACAAAGTTTGAGGAGAATTAACTGAACAAATGAACATGAAAACTCTTACAGTCTCCAAAGTGAGCAAAATGAGGACCACAGCTGGAAGCACAGGCATAGCTGTTTTCATTGCACTCTGCAGACACAGCATGTTTTACAAAGTCAAGGTTTGTAGCAACGTTGCAGACGGCAGGTGTTTCTGTACCATTTGTCCAGCAGCATGTGTTCATTTTGTGTCTCTGTGTCATGTTTGGTAATTTTTCAATAGCTTTAATTTCATTATTATTATATCTGTTTCAGTGATCTGTGGTCAGTTATCTTTGATGTTACTGTGTAATTTTGGGGGAGAGGTATGGCAGACACCTACATAAGAACCTAAACATTAAATGTGTGTGTTCTGACTGCTCCACTGACTGGCTGTTCTCCTGTCTCTTCCCTTCCCAGACTTCCCAATTCCAAGACACAACAATATTGAAATTAGGCCAGTTAATTACCTTACAGTGTCCTCTAAGTGTTCATGAAAGAAAGAGTTGCATGTCTGTCACTTCAAATCAAAAGCTAGAAATGATTAAGCTTAGTGAGGAAGGCATGTCAAAAGCTGAGGTAGGCCAAAAGCTAGGCCTCTTGTGTCAGTTAAACAAGTTTTCAATGCAAAGGAAATGTTTTTGATGCAAATTAAATGTGCTACTCCAAGGAACTCATAAATGTTAAGAAAGCAAAACAGGCTTATTGCTGATGTGAAGAAAGTTTTAGTGGAAAGAAGCTCAAACCAGCCATAAGATTCCCATAACGTTCCAGCTAAGATCACTGATGAAGGTGACTGCAGTAAAAAAGAATTTCCATGCGGATGAAACAGCCTTCTATTGGAAAGAAGATGCCATCTAGGACTTTCACTGCTTCAGGGGAGAAGTCAATGCCTGGCTTCAAAGCATCAAAGGACAGGCTGACTCTCTTACTAGGGGCTAAGGCAGCTGGTGACTTTTGGTTGAAGTCAATACCCATTTACTATTCCCCAAATCCTGGAGACCTTAAGAAGTATGCTAACTGCACTCTGCCTGTGCTCTGTAAACGGAACAGCAAAGCCTGGACAGCAGCACACCTGCTAAGGGCATGGTTTATTGAATGTTTTAAGCCTAATGTTGAGACCTACTGCTTGCGGGAAAAAAAAATCCTTCCAAAATATTGCTCATTGATTGGCAATGCCGATGAAGATGTGCTAGAAGATGAATGTCATTTTCATGCTTGCTAACACAGCATCCACTCTGCAGCCCATGGATCAAGGAGTTATTATGATTTTTAGTCTTATTATTTAAGAACTATATTTCATTAGGCTATATCTGCCATAGACTGTGATTCCTCTAATGGATCTGGGCAGTCAACTGAAAACCTTCTGGAAAGAATTCACCATTCTAGATGCCATTCAGAACCTTCATGACTTATGGGAAATGGTCCCATTATTAAAAAGAACAGGAGTTTTGGGAGCAGTTTTGGGGATTGTTGCTGTGCAAGTTGTTTGTGGTCAAACATATGAAGACAGGGGAGGGGAAGCTCTGATGTGAGCGTGAAGTAGCCCCTCCCCACCTTGAGAAAAGTCTGCCTGAAAGGCAGGGGAAGAGCTAGAAAGAGCCTCTCAGTGCCAAGGAAAGCGACCCAAGAGAGGAAGCAGTTCCCATGCCAAAAAAGACATCAGAAATAGCGTCAAGTGTAGGCACCAAAGTCCCAAGAGGATGGAAAACAGACTGTACTGATGGAGGCAGATCTGGAGGAAGATGTGGAGATCCCATGAATTTAGACGTGGAGTTCTTGGCTGAGCCTGAGATGGAGGCGGCTGAGGGAAAACACGCTACAGAAGTGTGTGGAGCAGGGCAGAGTCTCTGCTACCTCTACGCATACATTCATATTACTTCCCTAAAGGGAATTCAGCAGATGAACCACACAAGTTTTAAGCCTTTCACTATAATCTCAAGAAAGCTTGTTTCATTTTATGTTTAGCAACTGAAAAACGTGTAGAACTTTGAAAGGTGTAAGACTGGTTAGAAATCACATTGGTTACCTATTTTAGTGCCAACTGTATGTAACAATAAATGATAAGAACAACTTTTTATAAGTTACTATAGAAAACTGTTTGCTGCAGACCAGGCAGTCTGGATGTAAACCCTGCTTGTGCCAAGGATCAGTTGGGTGATTTCAGCCAGCATAGGGTCTCTGGGCTCACCTTCCTCAATTTCAAAACAGGGGCCTAAGAGGTCCCTCCGGGTATTGTGGTGATGATTTAAATATGGGCAATGCTTGACACAGTAACATTTACATATTAAGATAATGAAAAATAATAATTTGGAAAGATGGTATGATATGTTTACAGAATGCTAAAAATCAGAGTTTCAAATATGTCAATGATTCATTGTAAAAATGTGCATATGACAAGGAATGGAAAGCATGTACCGAAACTGCTAAAAGGGTTAGTGCTAGTTAATCTGCATGGTATTCACCAACTATAACTATTTATTAATAAAAACAGTTATTAAAAATAAAAATCTGTTTGACAAGCCACACAAGAACCAACAGGGGACCAGGTGGCCTATCCAGGATCCTATGAAGGGGAGAAGGAAACAGATTTGTTGGTTACAGACGTGCCCGAGGGGCTGTTGGCAGCAAGGCCGGCATATCCCTGCTGTCTTACATCTGCACAGGTGGCCCTGGGAGATGGACCACACAGCTGGGGAGGCCCAGCAGCAGCACTGACCCAGATCTGTCAGACGCTCTGCCCTGCCAGTGGCTCAGATGGACTCCTCCAGCCTCTCCTCAGGCTTCCAGGTTCTCAGTGCTCAAAACTGTCTGGAAGTTCCACAGGAAAGGCCACACCTTGTCCTCTGAGCCAGGGGCTGCCTCACTCTCCAGGCATCTGAGGAGTCAGTTAGCAGGTGAAGGGGAGGGAGCGGAGGCCCGGCTGACCTGGAGCACAGAGATGCCTCCTGAGCACTCTCACCTGTCCCCTGGGACATCATCAATTAAAGTCCCACTGCCCAGTGTGCATGTGCACAGGGAGCCAGCTCCACCGCAGAGGCCTGTCTAAACAGAGCTGCCTCCAGCTCAGAACGTAAACACCTGCTGGTGGTCCCTGCTCTGTGGGCTGTCACTGCTGTCCCTTGTAGGCTGGGAGGGCTGCACTGGGGGAGATGAAGCCTCATCTTTAGGGGCCGAGCTCTGGGAGTGGGCTGCTCATTGGCTTTTGAGGAAACAGCTCTGCTCTCAGGACAGAAGGCCTAGCAACTTGAAATGCTTCCAGATTTGCCCATTAGAAGAGCCAGTATAAAACGTTATCCGTGTAGCTCAGAGGGAAATTGGGGAAACAGAAATGCATGTTAGTGAAATAAGAACAAGTTAGGAAAAATAGCAGACAGCATGAGATTGTGCTCTGTCTTCACATCCTACAGGCTAATGCCACGTTTGCACACTGGGAGGTGAATGTATGTGAGGAATGAGGGCACAGTCCTGCACTGAGTGTGGGGAGGGTCCTGGCCTGGTCACCTTCTGCTCCGGGCTGTTCTGACCTGCTGCCCCTCCCAGGCACATGTAACCCTTGTGAAGTGAGAGCAAATAGCAGTGAAGTGACAGAGATTCTGCCAGTGCAAATAGCAGTAAGTAACAGAAGACGTGAAAATGTTGGGCTAAACGTAGCAGAAATTTCTTCTTGTATAAGGAGAAGTAGGGAGGTACAAAACCCAAAGCTGGGAGGCGGGCACTGATGGACCAGAACCAGGCACGCTCCAGCTTCTGCCCTGCGTTTTGGAATTTGTCCTCATCCATCCACATCTCTCAGCAGACAGCCCATTCGTATCCACTGTGCATCAAGCCCTGTTTCGGGTGCTGGGAATACAGGAGTGAGCAAGGGAGACAATGACATTCATCGCAGAGCTTAACGCTTCTAGGAAAGAAACACAGCAAACAGCAGTCTGATGACAGCACGTCACAATCTGAGAAGTGCTCTGGAGAAACATAAATTGGAGGGGAGGAAGACGTGGCAGGGAGGCTTGCTGTGTAAAATGGGGGCCTCAGGGGACATCATAAGCGGCAAGAGCCCAGCCTCGGGCCACTCTGCAGTGCAGGGATTAGCTGAGCCCTCCCCTGCCCTGTGCCTGGGACACTGAGGGGCAGGGAGGCAAGAGAGGAGGGATCAGGAGGGCATGTGAGGCGGCTGGAGGGCTCTGAGTGTTACTGCAATGAGCTAAAACTGTTGAGGTTTTGAGCCAAGAAGTGTTGCCATCTGCTTTCTCTTTCGGGAGGCTCTTCCTGGCTGCAGTGTTGAAAATCTGGGGCAAGAAGAAAGGATGGAGATGGTGAGAATTGGCTGGAATCTACGCCATCTCTCCACTGTCTCTGTTTTATTCCTTTTAAACTGATTAAACATTTACGATGCCGTCTCACTTTGACCATCATATTCTTTACACTCATATTTTCTGTCTTTTCGCCTCGTGGGACTATTTTCTGGATAATTTGTTTAGACGCATCTTCCAGGTTTCTGATTCATCTTCAAGTTTGTCTGATTTGCTTTTTAATATTCATTGAGTTTTAAATGTCAGTTACTACAGCTTTTATTTGTAAAAGTTCTAGCGTCTTTTTCAAATATTATCCCTTTGTTGTCTCTCGTTCTTGCTTATATTTTCAGTTATTTCTGTAGCCACACCAAACCCAGTCATTTTGTAGTTCATGTCTGGTAACCCCGTCCTCCCTGGCCCTTGAGAGCCTGGCATTTCCTCGCTGTTTCTCTCTCCTGGTGTCTTGCTTCTTTATTTTGTTGTCATTTTATAGGAAACTGATCCATTTCCGGAGTACTATGGTTACGTCTGGGCTTAATGCTGCAGATCTCCAGATGAAACTGTTTCCGCTGGTTGCTTGGGGGTCTAAGTAACCCAGAACCGCTTCATGTTGGGGCATCTAATTGGGTTTTGGACCTCGAGCCTGTGTGCCTGACCTACGCCAGCGCGGATGTAAGACATTTCCCATTTTATCTTCTGTGGTAGAGTTTCTTTTTATTCTTACACTCTTACAAAGGCCAGGGTGCATGGCCTTTGAAGTCTCAGATTATTTGGGGATCTCTGGTTAGTTTTTCCACCTTGCACAGCCCTTGACTTTTTCTCCTGGATTCTGTATCCAGTGAGACTCAAATCAGAGTCCAGGCTGCAACCTGCACCCGGTCTGGGTTGGGCATTATCTTACAGGATTCCTGCTTTCACTTCGTTTTGCTCTCTGCATTCTAATTTTTGTGCCAGCTCAGAATTGCTTTTAAAAATATTTCCTCCTCTACTTTAATGAACATGATCAACGAAAGTATAAAATCTGACTTACTGTTGGAAACAGTATTTTTAATTCTTAGTTCAGGCTGCTACAGCAAAGTGCCACAGACCAGGTGGCTTGTAAACGACAGATATGCGTTTCTCACAGTTCTGGACACTGGAGGTCCGAGATCAAGGTGCCAGCGTGACGGGCTTCTGAGGAGCGCCTGTTCTGAGTCACAGGCGGTGCCTTCCTGCTGTTCCCACACATGGTCTAAGGGCTGAGGGTATCTCTGAAGCCTCTTTCATAAGGGACTAATCCATCCACAGGGGTTCCCCTCAAGACCTCGTCACCTCCCCAACGCCCCTCTCCTAACACCGTCACACTGGAGAGTAGATTCCAGGTAGGAGTTTGGGGGGAGACAGACAGTTCACAACCAACCCCTTACTGAAATTTTGTTTACTTTGCTTTGTTTTCATTTTCTGCTTTCTGAGGAGCTTCCTGCAGTGGCTCTTGCATCTGTGTTTCTTACCCTTTTGGAGACAGGCATGCTTTTCTTCTATTTACTCTCTGAGTTCTATCCGTTTAGGCTTTACTGTTTCTGGTGTCTTATTCTCTCTCTCTTGAAATGTTTCATTTTGGATTCGGGGTCTCCTTTTACAGTAGCAATGACTACACTAATTTTGTGGCTGATAAAATATTTAATTGTGTCATTAATTTATTTTGTGGAAAGAATTTTGGATGTTAGTTCTACAGCCTTCTCCTGCCTCCCTCCCTCCCTTCCTTCCTTCCTTTCTTCTGTCTTTCTTAGGAATTTTCTATTCCCTTTCATGGTCTTAATAATTAAATGAGTTTGGGTTTCTCATGCCAATGTTTTCCAGTTTCCTATGAACTTGGACAAGTCCAGATCATTCCTTACATAGTTTACACGATGCAAAGATTCCCTCTCCTTCTGCCACAGACAATGCCGTATGCAAATATGGCTTATCTCGGATCCTTGGTATCAACCAGTATCCACCCTGCCACCGGTTTCCCTCCTTCCCACAGAAGGGATGTGGCTTTGGTCCTCGGCGTGCAGCAGCCTCACAGCACCAGGGTTTCTCTGGTTTCTGATTCTTCCCACAAAGCTCATGTGTGACCTCAGCTGGGTCTGACAGTCCTTAGAATCCAAGTGGAGTCTGAGGTTTATATTAATACCTGCTCCTTGTTTTGCTGATAATGAGGCTTTCAGCTATTTAAAAAGAAATGTATTATCATTGTGGCTTTTGAGTGATTTCTGGGAAGACAGAAGAGAAATGCCAACTTCTTCAGCAACATTCATTCTGCTAAAGCAGGAAAAGCCACATGACAAATCTCTCAAACACAGACCCGGGTAGGAAGGGGTGATTTATCAGGCCAGGAGCAGGGTGGCATAGCTGCCTAACAGCGGAGCTTCACTCACTAAGTCCCTGTCCTTTTAAAGGCTCAATACTCTAGAAATTACCTGTGAAAGGGTCTTGACCCATGAAGTAGGCATGGGGTAGTGCTTTGATCCTGTTTAAGGGAAAACAATGCCTTTTGGAGAGATCCCTCCACACCATATCTGTGGTCTATAGATGGGATCGTGGTTAGCAGGAGGGGTCTTACCCTTAACCAGTCCCTTCTCTGGCTGACTTCTAACTTCTCCCTTTGAGATGCAATGTAGAAAGCCAAGGTGATTAAGGGTCTCCTTTCTCACTGCAAGTCTGCATTGACTTGTTCAAATTTTAGTGTGGTGATATTTTTGTGTGACTTAGAAAAAATATATAACTGTCACATCAAAACCATTGTTTCCTAAATAGAGTTAGTTAGGGTAAGATAAAACATAGTAATTTTAATTGTACTTTATGCAGATTATACAAACTATCAGCAAGGATATTTAAGCATACATGTAAATATTTCAAAACTTCAGCAATTCAATTGGCTGCTACATATGTTTTGAATTTGAGGTAATATGAATAAATTAAAAATGTATATTTTCCAAGAGTCAGTTCCATGCACACAAATAAGATCTATACCATGATATGTGAAACATCAGATCTGGATGTGAACAGTTTTTCTTATACATATTCAGGTTGTTTCCCAATAATAAAAATCTCCTTGCTGTTGCATACAGAGATACCTTTGCCATTGAAATTATGCTGAATTTTGAATACAACAGTGAAAATTGTAAATTATATGTAACGGCAGAGAACTGCCTTCTCAATTTTATAGAGTCACATATAACATTTGAAATAGAGACTTTGTAATTTTTTTTCAAAACTGGTGGTTGAGTGGTGAAAAATAAACTTTGTAATGCTCATTATGAAATAACACACAGAAAAAAAAACAATATATTATTCTTGAAGGCTTTTGGAAACAAAAGTACCTTGAAAAAATAATTACTTTCTTAATTTTGTTAAGAAATTAACATGAGAAAATAGTGAAGTAATTGTGATTTTTCAAATATAAGAGATGGTATTTGGGGAAGAGCTTAGCATAAAAACCAAAACACTAAATTTTCTTCTGAAATGGAAACAAATTTATCTTCATCCTACCCTAACTGACATCTACTCAAATATCCATCTGTTACTAACTCATTATCAATCTCCATTTTTTTCTCATTCAGAAACTATCTTTAAAGTTTCATTTTGTAAACTCCAAGAGGTATATTAAGATATGTTCAATTCTTCTATCAAAGAAAAGGGTCAAACTCTAAAATATTTCAAGAGATTTATTCTGAGCCAAAGAAGTGACCAATGGCCTGTAACACAGCCTCAGGAGATCCTGAGAACATGCAGCCATGGTGCTCAGGCTACAGCTCGCTCTTATGCATCTTACGGAGGCATGAGACATCCATCCATACGTGCGAGATGTGCATTGGTTTGGTCCAGAAGGGTGAGACAACTGGAAGCAGGGGCTTCCAGAGTACAGGTAGATTAAAAGATTTTCTGAGGGGCAATTCATTGAAAGAATGAAGGTATTATCTAAAGACTTAGAATCAGTACAAAGGAATGTCTGGGTTAAGATAAGGGGTTGTGGAGACCAAGGTTTTATCATGTAGAGGAAGCCTTCGGGCAGCAGGCTTCAGAGAGAATAGATTGTAAAGGTTTTTCTTTTTTCTTTTTTTTTTTTTTTTTAAATCAGACTTAAGATCTGTGTTGATGTTAATGTTGGTCAGCTTTCCTGAATCCTGAAAGGGAGGAGAGCATAATGAAGCATGTGTGACCCCCACCTTCCCCTCATGGCCTGAATTAATTTTCCAGGTTAACTTTGGAATGCATTTTACTGAAAGAAAGGGTTCCTTCAGATGGTTGAGGAGCTTAGAATTTAATTTTTTTGTTTGTTTACATGTGTATTTATTCCTTTTGAATGAGACATGTAAGCCCCCAGGTACATATAAAGATTTTAGTTTTTATTTATGTCTAATCATATCAATTTTTCATTTAAGATACCGATACAAGATTTCCTATTGAAAATGATGAATTGAGAGAATGTGATTCTCTCGTATGGAAAAAATGTGAAATTATACATGAATGACTGATGTTTGAAAAGCAGTACTATAAGAGAGCTAGGCACCTGCTTTTAAGAAAATATGAAAATGTCTGATTCATGAGATCCTTAAAGCTAGCATTATGGAAGAGAAATGCTATTATAGGCAGTAGAACTGTTTTAGAAAATTCTGTAAAAATTGACATAGAACAGTTTGAAAGTCAAGTTCTGTGGTTTGAGCTTTTATAAGCCATAAAATAAATGATGCTATGTATGAAATCAATTACATGATATTGATTGAATTCTACATATTAAATTTGTGGAGCTTACAATATGAGCATGATCTGAGAAATGTATTGCTACTGATTCCATTCTAATGTGTATTAGTTCATTCTTGCACTGCTATAAAGAAACATCTGAGACTGGGAAATTTATAAAGAAAAGAGGGTTAACTGGCTCACAGTTCCACAGGCTGTACAGGAGGCATAGCTGGGGAGGCCTCAGGAAACTTACCATCATGGTGGAAGGCAAAGGGAAGCATGCATGTCCTCACATGGCCAGAGCAGCAGGAGGAGATACAAGGGAAGGCGCTACACACTTTTAAACAACCAGATCTCATGAGAGCTCACTCACTATCACGAGAACAGCAAGGGAAAGCCATGCTCCTCAGCCAGTCACCTCCCACCAGCCCCTCCTCCAACACTGGGGATAACAACTGGACGTGAGATTTGGGTGGGGACACAGACCCAACATATCAAATACCATAAAAGTTAGAATAATACTTGGACCTTCAGGGACTACTCCTGCTCTAGATTTTCATTAGCATGTTGGGTTTCAATAGTAAAGTCCTGATTATCATATTTTTAGATTAGGCAAATTTGTCAGGGATTACAGGTATGTAAAATGCCATACATTAGAACAAAGGCACAGATCTAATATAATTCAATCAGAATAGACACAAGTTAGCATTTCCTCTCTCCACAACCCACTGCCCAGATTGAATACATACAAGTGAGAAAGGAATAGTTTAAAATAGCAAAATGCAGGGATTCGAGGATTTCCATGCTCCTAACTCAGGGCAAATCTTCAGTGAAATATCCGTCTTAGGTTGGGGAGGGGTCACTGTGCTATCTGGGAATTCCCAAAATGGCACAGTAAGAAGCTCAGCCAATCGCTGCTTCAGAAAGCAATGGAAATGCTTGACAGAACTGCCAGAAACAACCATTTCAGAACTCTAAAAACGACCCAAAGGCATATGGCAAGCTGGAAGCATTTATTCAAGAAGAACTACTGACCCTTGGTGGAAACGGAAGGTTCTGTGGCATTTTCGTGTAGAACTACTCCCATGGCCACCTCGCCCCAGACCCAGGCAGGTTGTGGGAGCTGCCACCATCAGAGTGAGGCTAAACTCTGACCTTTTCCTCTCTTGCCCAAATTCCTATCTAAGGGGCCTGGGGAGTCCACCCTGCAAACCATGAAGGCTCATTGGAGCATCTTTTTAACCCTGTATAACATTTCAACCTGACTCTGGCATAACGTCACATGACACATAAAGAAGAAAATCAAACTGTTTCAACTCCAAACATGTTTCTTTGCCATATCTTGAAATAGTCCTTCGAAGCCGTCTCTTGTGGGGAAAATCTACATTCTGAAGAGAATCCTCTTCTGTTTCCAAGCCCTCTTCCTGATCCAGGAAAGAATAAATTCTGATAAGGAACATTTATAATCTATTCTCTCTGAAGTTAACTACTGGAGGGTTCCTCTACATAATGGGAACTTGGTCCCCACAACCCCTTATCTTAACTCAGACATTCTTTCCTATGGAGTCTGGGCCCTTAGACAATAACTTAGTTCTTTCAATGAACTGTCAATCTTTCAGAAAATCTTTGAATGTGCCCATGACCTGGATGCCTTGGCTTCCGGTCGTCCCGCCAGTGTACGTCTTACATGTATGGATTGACGTCTTATGTCTCCCCAAAATGTATACAGTGAAGCTGCAGCCCAGCCACCTTGGGCACACGTTCTCAGGATCTCCTGAGGACTGTGTTATGGGCCATTGGCCGCTCACCTTTAGCTCAGGATAAATCAACTGTTTTGCAGAGCTTGATTCTTCATTGGCAGGAGGCTGCACAAGAAAGCCCACACCTGGTGTGTGGCAGAGTCACAGCTGCGGAGGCTGAGATGCTGGGCGGAGTCAGAGCTGCGGAGGCTGCGGTGCTGGGCGGAGTCACAGCTGCGGAGGCTGAGAGGCTGGGCGGAGGCTGAGATGCTGGGCGGAGTCAGAGCTGCGGAGGCTGAGGTGCTGGGCGGAGTCACAGCTGCGGAGGCTGAGGTGCTGGGCGGAGTCACAGCTGCGGAGGCTGAGAGGCTGGGCGGAGGCTGAGATGCTGGGCGGAGTCAGAGCTGCGGAGGCTGCGGTGCTGGGCGGAGTCACAGCTGCGGAGGCTGAGAGGCTGGGCGGAGGCTGCGGTGCTGGGCGGAGTCACAGCTGCGGAGGCTGAGATGCTGGGCGGAGTCAGAGCTGCGGAGGCTGAGGTGCTGGGCGGAGTCACAGCTGCGGAGGCTGAGGTGCTGGGCGGAGTCACAGCTGCGGAGGCTGAGGTGCTGGGCGGAGTCACAGCTGCGGAGGCTGAGAGGCTGGGCGGAGTCACAGCTGCGGAGGCTGAGGTGCTGGGCGGAGTCACAGCTGCGGAGGCTGAGAGGCTGGGCGGAGGCTGAGGTGCTGGGCGGAGTCAGAGCTGCGGAGGCTGAGGTGCTGGGCGGAGTCACAGCTGCGGAGGCTGAGAGGCTGGGCGGAGGCTGAGGTGCTGGGCGGAGTCAGAGCTGCGGAGGCTGAGAGGCTGGGCGGAGGCTGAGATGCTGGGCGGAGTCAGAGCTGCGGAGGCTGAGAGGCTGGGCGGAGGCTGAGGTGCTGGGCGGAGTCAGAGCTGCGGAGGCTGAGGTGCTGGGCGGAGTCACAGCTGCGGAGGCTGAGAGGCTGGGCGGAGGCTGAGGTGCTGGGCGGAGTCAGAGCTGCGGAGGCTGAGAGGCTGGGCGGAGGCTGAGATGCTGGGCGGAGTCAGAGCTGCGGAGGCTGAGATGCTGGGCGGAGTCACAGCTGCGGAGGCTGAGGTGCTGGGCGGAGTCACAGCTGCAGAGGCTGAGAGGCTGGGCGGAGTCACAGCTGCGGAGGCTGAGGTGCTGGGCGGAGTCACAGCTGCGGAGGCTGAGAGGCTGGGCGGAGGCTGAGGTGCTGGGCGGAGTCAGAGCTGCGGAGGCTGAGGTGCTGGGCGGAGTCACAGCTGCGGAGGCTGAGAGGCTGGGCGGAGGCTGAGGTGCTGGGCGGAGTCACAGCTGCGGAGGCTGAGAGGCTGGGCGGAGGCTGAGGTGCTGGGCGGAGTCACAGCTGCGGAGGCTGAGAGGCTGGGCGGAGGCTGAGGTGCTGGGCGGAGTCACAGCTGCGGAGGCTGAGGTGCTGGGCGCAGTCACAGCTGCGGAGGCTGAGAGACTGGGCGGAGGCTGAGGTGCTGGGCGGAGTCACAGCTGCGGAGGCTGAGGTGCTGGGCGCAGTCACAGCTGCGGAGGCTGAGGTGTTGGGTAGCCTGACAACAGGCAAGACAAAAACCCAGAATTTAAATCTGGGGAGTGAGACGGAGCCTTGATAACCTCCCACATGTCGCTGGAGCTCTGAGAGGCTTTCGTGTGCATGGATTCGAGCAGGAAGAAACTCAGATTCCCCAAATGTGTGAAGCTGGCTCACCTGGCATGCCTGACGCTGGGCCTGGAGTTTTATCCTTCTTGTCTCCCTAGGAATGTGAAGGTCCTGCACACTGTTCACAGAGAGCCTCAACTGTGAAATTACTCATGAACATCCAAGGAATAGTAAGGAAAAAAATACCAATAAAAGTGAATTTCTTTATATAGCAGTAATGACCAAATAGAGTGGGTGCTTTAGGCACTTCTGGCAACAGCTGGAGCTATAATGTGTCTGCTGTGTGTGGCTCTGTTCTGGCTGGAATGACAGGGCTGTCTGCTGCAGTCTGGTCCTGCCTGCAGGGTCTGGGACGTGCCCCCACATCACACCAGGACCCCGTGCACATGTAAGGTGCTGTGACTGTGACATGCAACTGCGAAGAGCGATTTGCCTCTACAGTCCCTGGTCTTTGGAGAGCCACTGTCCTGGCCCATTCTCACAATGCTGTGAAGAACTACGTGAGACTGGGTAACTGGGTAATTTATGCAGAAATAGGCTGTACAGGAAGCACGGTTGAGAGGCCTCAGGAACTTAGAAGATGGCAGAAGGCAAGGGGAAGCCGGCACCTTCTTCACATGGTGAAGCAGGAGAGAGAGCGCGAGCAAGGGGGAAGGCGCTGCGTACTTTCAAACGACCACATCTGGTGAGTCTGTCACGAGAACAGCAAGGGGAATCCACCCCCACGATTCAGTCATCCCCAGCAGGACCCTCCTCCAACACTAGGGATTTCAATTTGACGTGAGATTTGAGCAGGAACACAGCACTAAACCATGTCAGCCACTATGTAAATAAAACATAGGTTCAATCACATCAAAGATCATAGAAGCAATAAAATGAGAGCAGAAGCCATGCCCACAGACCTGTTTTCCATGCATGTCACATACACACAGCAGGCAGGAGAAGGACGGGCCTGGAGACTGATGGGTTAACAAAAGGCGAAAGCAAAACACGTCTGTAAAACGTACACAGGTCCTGTAACCCTAGTTAGTAGAAGCAACAAGAAGTTCAGCATCGCACCTGAGATTTGTGTCTAAGCAGCTGTTTGAAATGCGCCTTTGTGAAGTGTTGCCTGAATATTCCTTTAAGGCCTGAGTCCACAGCACTTGGCATCCGGCATCCGGAGGGGCCCGGCGCCTTCCCGGCACGCAGGACTGAGCTCACAGAGCTTGGCCGGCCCCTGTTGTGTTTGGCTCTGCTGTGTTTTTGCTATCACAGCAGTGAAAACAAAGCTGTCTTCAGACCCAAGTTCTTGAAGGACTAAGTCAGCAAAGGACAGAGGTGGAAACTGAGGAAGACGTAGCCGGAGGCGGGGCCTTTCCAATGGAGTTGGCCCGGGTCCCCGGCGGAGCCCACAGGCCCCAGGTGGCTGTGCCCACATACTGAGTGACGTTTCCGGGAAGGCTGCCCAGACTTTGATGCAGGCTTCAAACAGAACCTTAACAGTCCTGAGTGGTCTCTGTTTTCTCAGGGCACCTGCTCCTCAACCAGGTGGTGCTTCTCGCTCAGGCCCCGACGGCCTGTGGCTGCACACAGCAAAGCCGGCATTCCTCTCAGCGAAGGTTCAAGTGCAGACAAACGCAGTGGCCAAGAGGCTGATCTCAAACGTTCCCACTGGGCACGGAACAGTGACATGTTTGAATCAGAAGAAAGTGATTCAAGAATTCAGTTAAAACTGATGATAAAACAAAAAATTAAATTTTATATAATTATTTTACATAGTTTAAAATGATGAACTTTTAGCATTTAAAAATCTCCATGCTCTAAGTCACATAGAAATATTACAGGTGTGCTTCAGGCCTCCTGGTTACCAGGTTCTTTGCAAACCATTTCTCATTTAACCCTCACAATGGAATGAGGACAGTGTTACTGTGCAGATATTACTGGTGAAGAAACTTGGTTAATTCCCAACATCACACACCTAGGAAGTGACAGAATCACAGCTCTAAACAGGTTCGTGTCCTACTTCCAAACCCAGGGCTCTCAGATCAGCCATGAGAACGTGAGGAGGTCAGCTGTCCCCAGGCATGACTCAACCATCTTACCCCGGGGGCCCTTGAGAATCCGCTGAGTCCTGTATGTGAAGTAATTTATAGATTTTCACATGAATTTTAGGTCACATGATCCAGTAGGATTAGCAGGGTGGTCAAACGCCAGCGCTGGAGCTCAGGTGTCGGGGCTGGACCCTGACACTCTGCTGCTGCCAGCTCCCACCCTTGTGTGAGTGGCTGCTGCCTTTGAATCTCAGGTTTCTCAACTGTCAAATGGCATCAAACAAGGTAACACATACAAGTGGTCTTGTGGGGTGCTGGGCCCATGGTGGGTGCTCCCTAAGCATTACTGAAGGCGATTCGTGTAGTGATTGGCACATAACAGTTTAAACTGGCACCGGTGGTTCACGTGCAGTAGACATGGAAAAGCGCAGCTGATTGCTGGGATTCCAGCCGAAGTCAAGGCATGGTGCTCTTTCTGGCCTTGGCCGCTTTCCTGCAGGGTCTTCAGTAGATGTTCCATGACGGAGTATGAGATTAGGAGCTGCCAAGCATCCCACAGGGCTGTGAGTTCAGGGGTTGCTGCACCAGGCGACTTCTTGGATACTTGCTGGTTCTAACTTTAGTTTCATGCTTATTGCAGACTGGACACATGCTTAGTGCTTTAAAGCTGCTCCACTCAAACTGACCCTACCTTTAATGCACTGTATTTTCTGTGCCTGCCTCCAGTTTATCTCCCACCAGACAGCAACAAACTCCCTGAAAAGACAGACTGTGTCAAGGTGTCGTCAGAGCTTAGCCTGCCAATGGCTGTGTCAAAAGCACTAAAATACACTTTTATTGAATACATGCAGGTTGACAAATGGAAGTTAGATAAGCCTTCTAATTCCTGTTTTCAATGTTGAAACTGTGTATGTATTAAGACCACTGTATGTTAAAAGTCAAGTACAAGAATCTACTGTGTTAAATGACCATACAACCATCTATTCATTCAGTCAATGTGAGTACCATGTTTACTGAATACCTACTGTGTGCCAGTCAAGGCGATATCGACGACGCAGAGAATTAAAGAGAGAAACCGCCTGCCTTGTGCAGTGCTGTGCCAATGTCGAGGAGGCCGACGGAGGCAGCAGTCACCGTGTTGCACGAGCCAGAAGTCGCCCGATGTCGAGGAGGCGGACGGAGGCAGCGGTCACCGTGTTGCACTAGCCAGAAGTTGCTTGCCCTCTTGTCACAACTGGGGTCTAGAAGAGTCGCACAAAAATGCATTATGCAAACGAAGTATTGGGTGAAACTCACTAGGTGACATCATACAAATAAAACCAAAGCTCATTTGGGCTTCAGTTGGGTCTCAGCCCTCCTGAAGTCTCCCTGGTATCTTTCTGCCCTGGACACATTGGAGACCGGCTTCAGCCACGTCACAAGCTTGCAGGACAATGGGCTTTTCTTCCTCTGTCTTCTTCAGGACTGTGAGTGCCTGGAAGGCAGGAGTTGTGCCTATCGCCTTGTGTCCTCGCTGTTACCTCAGGGCTCATGTCAGTGAACACAGGCTCTACTGAGGAATCTCGGCTTCCTGTCGCTTGTTTTCTTGCAAAGAAGTTAAAAACCAAATCAATGCAGTAACAAGACGCAGATACATTTGGGTGCTTGTTTGCTGAACTCAGGAACTACCACCAGATTGGCAGGGCTAATTTGCCCTTGGTGTTTTGTGATTTCCCCTAATTATTCTAGAATGATTGTGTTGCTTTATTCCCACAGCATAAGCACTTGCAGAGGAGGACCACCACCCCCTGCAGACCTCGGCTGCTCTGTGGCTCACTCCGGCCTTCAGAAAGACAGCTTTGCTCTGAATTTATTTTCATAATTACATGAACGTTATCTAAAAGAAACAAAGGACGTGGGAAAGAATAAAGTTTAAAATAAACTTTAAGCTGTGGGAATGCAGGGGGCCAGGCTGGAGAACAGAGAAAGCCACAGTGAGCTCAGTATCTCTGTGCTGATCTACTCGGCCAGCAAGAAGCCTGCATGCTGCAGAGAGCTGTGCCCACCGGCCAGAAGTTCAGGACTCACGCACATAATATGCTGACTTTATCCTAGAGCTAATTCATTCCAAAGCATGAGAAACATAGAGAAAAGCCAGCAGCTATTGGCCATGCAGGTGTAACATTTCTTTCATAAAGACTGGAGTTGTGTTTATTCCGTTCTGGTTCAATCTCATGATATTTATGGCCATATTGACATCTTACTCAGAAATGTTGAAAAGCTCTGAAATATCACTTAGCCATTAAAATGCTGATTACCATAATGAAATAACAGCATAGAAAAATGCTTATGATATATGATCTCGAGAAAATTCAGGATACACAATCTTATAAGCAGTACGGCAGGAGCTGAGTACAGTCTGAGTACAGCAGGCTGGAAAGCATCACAAACCTAAAATGCTGAGCACGTCAGCTGGGGTGAGCAGTGAGACCTCCTGTGTCCAACACTTGGTATCATGTTTTATTTTCTCAATGTTCGTAATAATAATACAGCTAAAAATGAGTTCGAGTAGAAATTAATTTTTTTTGAAGAGCAGGAATAAACATAACCTGATATTCATTTGCTATTGCTTTATCCTTGCTAACCTTTGCAGAACCATCTGGAATTTCTCCCTTGGTGCCTCCAAGGAGATCGCAATTATAATGCAGATCCAGAAAAGACACCTCCCGACGAGGTGACATGTATGACCTTGGAGCAAGATCAGCTCTTGCAGTCTGCTATTTAAGTACTGAAACACAGTTACCTGGAAAACCTTCCCAATTAGTATACACAGCTGTTGTTGAGAATGATTAAACTGCCCTGTAAATGGAGGCTAAACGCACTGCTTTGGTGGGCTCTGCTTCGGTGGGCTCTGCTTTGGTGGGCTCTGCTTCGGTGGGCTCTGTTGGGGTGGCTACTGCAGGAGTGGCTGCAGTACTTAGCTGGGGTCCACTTGGTCCAGGATTTTCGTCTGCAACAGCATTGGAAGGGTTCTTTAATACAGGAGTTTTAAATGCTATAAAATATATAGCCAAGAAGACTGAGTTCATGATGTACGTATTCAGTCCCAAACTTCCTAACACCAGCAATCAAGTGACTAAAACCCTTGAGCTTCTGTTTCCAGGAGATCATAATGATTTTGCAAAAGCTTCCATGTTTCTGTTTAGACCCTGAGAAGGGTTCTTTCCACCAGAGAAGACAAAGGCCCTTGGTCCCACCTCTAAGGTGGGCACAGCCTAACCCAGCCCAGGCGACTCTCACGGTCGGGGCCAAGACGCATCCTGGATGAATGCCATTGTACTCAGCCGCAGGGCCCTGAAATATGAGCTCAGCAAAATTGTAGCATAGAGAACCATTAAACTCTGGATACAAGATGAAATCCACCCTGGACAAAAGTCTGTTTCAGTAACTACTGCCAACACTGGACATTCCCCCGCCCTGTGACCAGAGAAAAGAGGGAAAGAGCCACCCTTCTCCAGCTTTGTGCTGCAGCGGCCACTGAAAAGAACCACCTTTCCTGCTTGACACAGACAAGACTCACCAGCGACAGGGCCAGAATCAGACCCTCTGCGTTTCCATTCGTTGTCTCACAAATGTGCAGCTGAACCGCTTTGTCCTGCTAATCTATCTTTAAAAAAAAAATACTTGTTAGCCAAACTGTGACTCAGCTTCTCTTCCTGGCCAGGCCCTGCCCCCCAGCACTGAAACGAGGACCCCACCCTCCATCTCTTCCCAGTGGGCTGACCCATCTCCTGCCCACTGTCCACTGTGCCACGGGCCCCTCCACGCCTCACCCAGGTGTTCTGGGCTTGGTTACTCCCTCCTCCTAAAACGAAAGTGCTTTCCTGCCTGAGATGCTTGAAGGTCTTGGGGTTAGAGCATTTGCCCTGTGTCATGAAGTCCCCTTCTCTCTCGAAATGATGCCTTCAGGTAAACTCTCCGCTTACCTGAGTCTGGATTTGTGTTTCACTGGACACTACACTGTCTGAGAATTGCCTTAAGTCCTTAATCACAAAGGAAAACGAACCAGAGGAGGGCCCACATTCTGGCCACGTGGCCAACAGTGAACTAGGGAAGCCCTTCCAGCACAGAAAATGCCAGAAAAATAAAGACACACAGGACATTTGAAAATTTATGACTTCACAAGTAGAAAACTAAGGTGACTCTTGGAGGTCTGAATCTATAAGAACAGGCGGTTTTGACTGGCTGAGGCTGTGATTTTCCTAGAAGGAAATGTGGCGAGAGGCGCGGGGTTTCATAGGGTTCACCTGAGGGCGGGGTGTGGCAACAGCCTTGTGGGGTTTCATAGGGTTCACCTGCAGGGGGTAGAAATGGCCTTGTGGGGTTTCATAGGGTTCACCTGCAGGGGGTAGAAATGGCCTTGTGGGGTTTCATAGGGTCACCTCTTGGGGGTGGAAACAGACTTGTGAGGTTTCATAGGGTCACCTGTGGGTGGGGGTGGAAACAGCCTTGAGGGGTTTCATAGGGTCAGCAGCCAGTGGGTGGTGGAAATGGCTTTTGTCAGTGTAAGTCCTGTCAAGGGGACAACTACAGCCTGGAAAGGGGCAGGCCCTGAGGGACACTCACCTCTATTCGAATTCTGGTGGAGGGAGAACTGAGACCAAAAGTATCACCCCAGAGTCTTTCTCAACTCAGTGCTCTGATTCGGGGTTCAAGTCACACTGTCTCTGTGGCCCAGAAAGACCTGATTCTAGAACGTAAAGATCAGTACCGGGCAGAAGCAAACACTCCTCTTTGGGGCAAAATACTATAAAGACAGGCCTGGGCCACATTCCAGACCTTTAGGGGACTCTCCTAGGAAAGTGGGATCTGATTTGCTTCAGTGCTGAGGGATGGGGGAACCAGGACAGACCAAGAGAGGCAGGGTGGGGCTGGGGGCCAGAGAGATGCTGGTGGGAAGCACAGCTCCCGGGGCTTGCCTGTGAAGGGGAGGGCAGGAGAGGAGTGGGCACTGCCGGACATTGGAGGCAGCAGCTGCCTTCCTGCTCAGTGAGAATTTGACTTGAGGGAAGTTCTCTTCTGATGTTGAGTCCCTGGTGCCTGCGGGACATCCATGCAGGTGGAGCTCAGAGAAGAGCTGAGGGCACATGCAGGTAGAGTGTCTGCAGCCATGGGGTGATAGGATGACCCAAAAGAAGGAGAGCCAGGAGGAAATGAGAACCAAGAAAGAAAAGTCTTTAAATGAGAGAGCGCCCAGCCAGCAGGGCCCACGGCAGCTGGGATACCAGTGAAGACAGAAGCGAGCTGGCTGGGCTCCGGGTGGCCGTCATCCTTGCTAATGCCAGCCATGCCTGCAGAGGGGTCAGGAGCGGCAGGGCCCTGGCCACCTCCAGAATGAGGCTGGAGAGGGACTGCCCTGAGGGGCCCAGGGCTTCCCAGGAACAGGCCTTCGGTAAGGTCAGTGAGGCCAGGCCTGCCTGGGGAGGGACGCCTCTCCCTTAAGGGGCAGCAGGTTGGTGCATTTGTCTTTTCCGCCTGACTCTTCTGTTCTCACAGCAAAGAATGAGAAGCGTCTCTGATGCAGGAGGTGGCGGAGAGAAGGAAGCACCAGGGGTGGTCGTGGAACCTTGGAAGGTGCTTTTGGGGGAAGGTCATGCCTTTCTGAGCAGCCTCTGAGAGCTGAGTCAGGAAGCTGGAGGAGAGCCGGTGTCTGGCTTGGCCTGTGACTCCTGGGGATCCACAGTGAGGGCT